CTACAGGCCATCCTTGTTATCCTGTTGCAAAGAATTTAAATGCTGTGTCTCCATACCCTGAGACTTTGTGGGAGGCCACATTTAAAGGTGACAGAGTAGTTTATCTGCTGGAGGGAACTTTAAGGCAGAGCAGCATTCAGGCAGAAGCCTGGGTAATCCTTGATGCTTTTAGCCAAATTTACTATAACAATCAGGAATTCAGAAGCACAGGAGAACAATTAAGAAAACTTGTTGTTTGGCCACAAAAAGGAACACATTTAAAGGTGTTCCAGCCAGACAGGATGGTGCATGCCTGTTATCTCAGCGCTCCAGCTGAAATAGGAGGACAGCTATGAGTTTGAGGAGGTCAGCCTGGGCTACATGAGACCCTATCTCAAAAAAGTCAAAAAACTAAGTTAAAAAATATAAGTCTTCTCAAGTAGTGTGCAGTTGGTAAAGAGATTAGTGCTGTTGAAAAGATGCCAAGTACTTCGCATTGGGACAGAAGATATCTTGAGAGTATTTTAGGAATCACAAGACCCTACCCATAATCAGCTCAAAAGTGTGAGTATAAATATAAATTCCATTCAATGATTTTTCCTTTGAGGACAAAGCTCCAGGGCACTGTGCCCACCCAGGACTGTCTTGGGTATCATCTTGGGGTTTATTTCAGCTGGTAAGGTACTCAGTACCCACTGTATCCTTGCTTCAAGCAGAACTGGTATACCTTACACTGACAACAGATCCTATTGTCCAGGTGATGCTGGTTTTTCGGGCATGCAGAATCTGAATTACAGTGTCATAGAGGCTTTCACCATGATTTGTCTTGCTTTGGTCCAGTATGTGCTTATTTTCCTATTCCAACTTTTTAGAATGTATTTATCCAGTACCATATTTTTTGTTTTATTTTTGGGGGGAGAGTCTAACTTTGTAGTCCAGGCTGGCCTGGGACTCACTGCAACCCTCCTGCCTCAGCCTCCTGAATGCTAGGATTATAGGACTGTCCCACTCACCCAGCTGCCATGATACTTTTGAAGTATATAACTTTCTTTTTGATTTTTATAGGGGCTCACAGCTGCATTTGACTTGAGTTTCAGAGACTTTGGAATTGGACTTTTGTGCAGTGTTCAAATTGTTAAGACTTTGTTGACTCTTTGGAGATGGGCTAAATGCATTTTACTCTGAGAGGGACAAAAGCCAATGGGCCAGGCATGGAATGCTATACTTTAGATCTTGAATGTCCTCCAAAAGGCTTAAAGGTTTGATCCCATGGTGCTACCAGAACCTTTAAGAGGTGAGGCCTAGTAAGAGGTTAAGTCACTAGAGACATTTCCTTGAGGACATCTTAGGCTTCATCCCCTTCTCTCTTACTTTCTGGTCATCATGAGGTAAGCAGCTTCCTTTGCCATGCACACCTGCAATGATATATTAAGCCAAAGGCAACAGGGTGAATTGATCATGGTCTGAAATCTGAAACTGTGAGCCAAAATAAACCTTTTCACCTTTTAAGTTTATTTTCAGATACTCTTGTCACAGTGACAGAAAGCTAACACAGTATCTTTCTGGTTGCTTTGAGGATTTGCTTTTAATCTGGTTTTCTAGATTAAAACTTTGTCTTTGTGTTTATTGTACTTACCTATTTGGTTGTCATCAAATTAGAAGTTTTTGGCTATAACTTCATTGTTTCATGCCATACTTAACCCTCCTACTTCTTATGAGAACCAAGTACGTATGTTAAGATACTTTACCTTTTCCACTTGCAATTGAGGCATTCTTTATTTTTAAAATTACTTGTTTATCTTGCAGTTGGGATTTTTTTATCTGATCTCTAATTGTCAAAATAAGCTATTAAAACTTCCTAGTTAATTTTTCATCATCTATGTTGTATTTTTCATTTCCAGAAGTACATTATGCTTTTCATCTTTCTGCTGTGAATCCTGTTCACTAATTATGTTGAACTTTTAAGTCCTTGAACACATCTATGCAGACATTGTCTAGTTGTTGCTTGGTAATTCTATCTAGGACTTCTCTAAGTTCTATTCTTTTTGTCCTGATTATGGTTCACATTTTTATATATTCTGTTTGTATTAAAGTATTATTGTGCGCTGAATATTGTGAAGGCTATGTTCGTTAGACTCCAGGTTTTACTGTATTTCTTTCAGGAGTTTTCTAGCAATTAATTTGTTGGTGGTTCAGTTTAATCATGTCATGACTTCTGTTTAGACTTTTTTGCCTGGTTTAAAGTTAAATATAACCTTAAACTGTGGACTTTATAAAGTCTGGGTTGTTTTCCTCTCCTTATAAATTATGGTAGCTTTGTTAATTTTGTTTTCCTTGGTTTGTTTCTTGACAAGGTCTTCTTGTGTAGCCCAGGCTGACCTTAACTTACATTCTTGTTGCCTCCCTTTCCTGAGTATGGGGACTCATTTGCAGATGCCTCATAGGTTGCTTCACTTCATCTTACTCTTTTTCTATTTATTTCATGGGCTTTTAGGGCAAGAGGGGAAGTCAGATAGCCATTACTCATGGCCACAGAAGAAGTGGCACTGATATTTTCCATAACTCCCTAGTTAATTCTAATGTGTATTCAAGGTTAGTAACTGCTTTAATGAAGGGTTTCTTTATAACAGCACTGTTGGCATTTTGGGCTGGTTTAGTATTTCTTGTGGGGTGGCTGTCCTCTGTGCTGGAAGGTATTCAGCAGCACTTATCCACTAGATGCCAGTAGTGCCTCCTGCCAGATGTAACAATCCAAAAATGTTTCCAGAAATTGTTAACTGGCTTATGTGGAGCAAACTCAACCCAGGTTGAGAGCCTGTACTCTAGCAGAATAGATTATTACTTTGCCTTAAACCTTTGTTTCTCAAAGCATGGTGTGCAAGTCAGTTGTACTGACATCACCTGTAACACAGAATCTCAGCCCTCTCTCCCCTCTGAGATCTGCATATTAACAAGATTCCAAATGATCTGTATGCTTTCTCCCATTTGAGAAACAATGCCAAAGACCAGGGACCAATAACACTCTTTTTAATGTTGGCTATCAAACCCAGGGCCTCACACACAATAGACAAGCACTCATACCGTGAGCTTCAACCTTGGCCAGCAAATGTTTCCTTAAGCAGCTTGATAGAAAATATTTTAGGCTTAAAGTCTGGGTAGTTTTTTGTCAGAACTATTCAACTGTACTAATTCAGTGAAAGAGCAGCTTCAGACAATATGCCTGGATCTGGCTGTGTTTCAATAAAACTTTATTCACAAAACATGCATGGTACTGTAGACTGTCTTTCCCCATCAGACCTCAGACAGTTAAATTCTTTTATATGTAGCTTCCCATTGGATTTCACAGGTTGTTGCTAAGAGCCAAGTTGTATGGGTTAAACAGCAGATGATTCTTGAAATAACAGTAGCTTGATTTCTATTAACTAGGTGATGCTATCTCTTACTGCCACAAATAAGTTATATATAAATGTTTATATGTGATTTGATGGCACAGTTCTCTTACTTTGCATGAAAATGATTTATGGGTATACTGGAATAATTATTCACTTATTTTGCCTCTAGTGAATAAAGCTGATAGAACTTTAGGAAAATTGCATTTGTGTGACTTTGTTAGTGCTCAGACAGTAGAGACTAGTTATTTGACTCTCAAATTTTTAAATTTACTTCTTTTAAATAGCAAAGCTAAAGAGCCTTCAAAACATCTCTCATCTGTTTTGTGTCTCTTATGACCTTCTAAAACTTTGCATTCCAAAATTGACTCTTGTGGGGGAATGGGGAATCTGAAGAGTTAACATCTTAAAGGATGACGGTTTGCTCTTCTGAATAGTGATGGTATTCCACCAGATGTTTCTGGAAAAAACTAACAATAAAGATTTGCTTTGTTTTATAAAAGTCTTTTTCTGAATTACTTGTAAGTGGTACAAAGGAGGAGGCATATCAGAGATCACAAAAGTGAAGCAGAAACAGAACAACTCTGGACTTTTACCCAGTTAAGCCAAACGGAGAAAGGCCATTCCTGAGTCTTTGGCCAATAGTAATAATGGTGAGAACATTGAAGCAGCTCATGAAACCCACAAAAGTAACCAGTTAATTTGTTTTACATTAATAGCTATTCAGTCCGTAATGGCTAATCTATGCCTATAAAGCTCTCTAAGAGACATTATACAATACACCAGTGAGATGGTTTTGCCTGGCAGTATATAAGGCTTGACTGAAAAATACAGTAGATATTTAAATATTTTTAAAATCATTACAGTAAAAGATCCATTGGCTTTAATCCCCTCAAAATACTCCCTCTCACTTCAAACACACTAATCTCATCCAGCAGTTCTAGAAGTCCTATTTCTATCTTCAGATGCCCTGTCATGGCTGCCTCAATGTCCTGAATCAATTTAAAACATTTATATTTCATGGTCCTATGGATTTTGAGAAAGAGCTAGAATTCACATGATGCCAGATCCAGTGAGGAAGATGGATGGCACTTGGCAGCAGGATTCACTGTATTGTTGATCATACCTCTTAAAGCTACAAAAGACTTCCAGAACTGCTAAAGAAAGTGGCAAGAATGATGGGTTAATTATGTTCAAAGCAGGGGAAGTATTTTTGAGGGTGATTTATGGCGGTGTATATTTTACTGTAATTAAAAAAAAAACAAAAAAACCCTTCAGAATTCACCATATATTTTGATCACCCCTTTTATAGCCTTATCCTTTACTCAGTACAAAGAATCATCTCTGAGTTGCCATTATGTGCAAAAGGTGTACATTAGCATATTAATGATCAAAAGCTTTCAAATTATGGCAATCTTACATAAGATTTGGCCTTTTATAATCTTGCCAGGAGACAAGAGAATTCAGTTTTCATATTCTATCCTGTTTTTAGATTATAAATTTACACGGCTTAGAAGAACCAACCAAATGAGCCAGATTTGTCTGTTAAATTTTATTTAGCATTCTTACACAGTACAGGAAATACATACTTGGGTAACTCATATCTAAAAAACTATATATTTTTTTCCATAGGAAAACACAAGACGACGACAAAAATACCATGAGTCTTCAGAACTTCTGAATGAAGTAAACAGTTTCCCAGGAAAATCTAGCTATACATACCTCCAAAATTCATTTCATGAACCCTATCAAGATTTTACACATACTATCAACAAGTCACAGTCCCCACTTTGGCAAATGAACACTTCCACAATTGGTATGGAAGTCACAGACTTACAAAGTTCTGCCAGATTTGGGCCTACAATTTCCCAGCATACTCTTAGTGAAGAGACAAAGGCAGATGTAAATTGTTATGGCCTCATCATAGTTTTGCTTTTGATACTGATATGTCTTTCTTTATATTTTCTTTGAAAATATCAAATAAAATCCTTTTGATAATTCTTAAAGTTTCCAGCTCTTCATAGAAATATTATGTTATTTCAAGGTTTCCTTCCAGACATTTTCAAGGTAATTGGCTTTAAAAAAGAAAATATATTTTAATAAAGTTTGTGGGCACTCTAAACATTTTTCTTTACACTAGTAATAGTGTCACTATAATTTGGAATATAATTTTCTGAAGTTTCAGATCATCTAGGAAATTTAGAAAAGTAGTTAAATGTTTTTGATCAAACAGAATTTAAAACTTAAAATGATCGTGCTAAGACATCTTAGAGGAACTTACCTTATTACTAATTTGTTTAAATACAGAAAATAACACGTTTCAAAAAGTTTTAAATAAGCCAAACTATATAGATTATCTTTTATACTACATTATTAAATGAATTACTAATGGTATAATGAATTCATTATACCACATTACTAAATGATTGGTAATTTACTTACCTTACTACAGTATGGACATTCACCAAATATGATGTTAAAACTCTGTCTACTAGTAAGTAGTCCTCTCAGCCACTGAAAATTTTAAAAAGAAGCAGTGTTAGGGCCGGAGATTTAGCTCAGTGGTTCTGCTGCCTGCTTTGCAAGCGCAAGGACCCGAGTTCGATCCCCGGTACCAAAAATAAATAAATTAAATAAATAAAATAAAAAATAAAAAGAAGCAGTGTCAGAACAATTATAAATTACAGATACTCCAAAGATCATTTCCTTTCTTTTTTAGTGCATTTTGTTTTTATTCCAGAAGGTTTACTTTAATTGTATTTTATAAGAGTAAGGGATACATTTTCTGAGCCAATGCCAGATTATTACTATGTTGAATAATGAGGGGAAATAAACATGAAATGTGAAGTGTAAACCACTGATCTAAAAGCAAATTATGGCCCCCTTTAAGAAACTAATAGAAATTATATTTTCTTTACCCCCCAAATAAATATATACACCAAGACATACAAGTTCTTGGGTTCATATACTATCCCTAAATCCATTAATCACATAGTAAGAACTCCTACCATAAAACATACCTAACGGCTTTTGTAAATTTAGGTCTTAATTCTGGTTTTAATCACCAATAGTGGCTTAATTCTCAATCCACTGATTACAAGCATAAGGCAGTTTTTAAATATTAATACTCATTATTACAAAAAAAAGAGAAAATTCCCTCAAGGTTCTGTAATTAGATATGGTATTTTGTGATTTTATATAAAGTAAATTGACATCTATCTTTAGGTTTTTTATTTCTAAAGTACACATAACACTAAACTGCTGCTGTTAAGCATAAAGGGAAAGAGGTGACAAAGGGAGTCTGAAAACTAAAAGAACTATAAAATGGCAAGGTGTTTTGTAATCATATCAACTGGGCCCTAAGTGCTATGGAAAGTGAATATCCAAAAACAAGAATGGAAGAAAATTTCACATATAGTAAATAAATAAAACATTGCTTAAGAGGGCTGTGAGGGCTGGGGATTTAGCTCAGTGGTTCCACCACCTGCCTTGAAAGCACAAGGTCCCAAGTTCAATCCCCGGTACCAAAAAAAAGTGCTGTGAAATGTTCAGATCACCTACCATTATAAATAACAAAAGAAGGATTACTGCATTTATTCTATACATATATATATATATATAAAATCTAAAGAATAATAGATGCTACCTATGTGCTAATTCCTTTTCACTACACTATTTCCATCATCCCAGTTGGGTGAATCAACAGTTTGCATTGTAGTTACATAAGATATGTATGGAAAGATTCCTTTGTATCATCAACTTAGTATGTTATGGAACAATTAGGTAGTCCAAGTATATAGCCTGCATTGATATTCCCCCATTCTGCACATCTTTGGACATTTCTTCATTAATTAGTAACCATGATGAAGAAATAAAGCACACAAATATCTAGAATAATTTAGTAAAAGAAGTTAACTGCAAATGAGGGGGCTACTTATTAAGTAAATGGATCTTAAGTTCTGCTTATTTCAAATATGCATAGTTCGCATGTTCTGTTAGCTGAAGAAAGTCTTGCTGATGTTATTTTTTTATTTTAGTTTTACCTCATATAAGCATATTTTATGAAAAGGCTGACCACACTGGGAATTATTGCACACTTGATCAGGAATGGCGCCATCAAGTTGATAGGCATAACAAATTCCACAATCCATAGTAAAATCCTTCAAAAGAAAAATGTTTATAAGCATATTTCTTTAAAATGTAGATTAGAAAGAACAAATGATATAGACCAGTGGTGCAGAATGTATGGCATGCATATTTTTCTTTTAAGACAAAAGATGTAATTTATGAATTGTTTTTTCTAAATTAAAATCTCAGTATTCAGGTTTAATTGCAGTGTTGGCACTTTGTGATAAATAAGGGGGTTTTGGGTTGCAGTTTGGGCACTCTAAAAGATTTGCCATCACTGACACAGACAATATTACATTTTTTAAAATGTAGTTTTTATAAAGTGACTATTGCTATATTGTAGAAAATATAATCATACCACTACTTACCACCTAGAAAAGCTACTTGTTAGTGTTTCCTTTTTCACTCAAAAATAGATATACTAAATTTCATTTTTGGCTGACAAGATTTTTGGGCTTTAGGAATTTCCCATATACATAAATATAGTGTCTATGTTGTATGTAAAGATAGGAACTGACATAAACTAGTGATTACTAAACTTCAAAATTCTGCAACCTTAGCAACTTTGTCAAAAATCAATTGTACTTTTATCTTTGCAATAGTTTCTATTCATTTTTGAAAAACTATACTTCCATCCTTCACACTTATATCAAGATAATTAGAACTTTATTTTGGTCATCAATAACAGACAGTATAGAAAATCCAAACATTTAATTAGCTACTTTGTTATTAATAAATATGACTGTCATTAATCCCTTTGTTGTTGAAAACCATGAAAAAAGTCCACTTAAAAAACACCAATCAAAGTTAACAAGGTCTTTGATGAAACTATTACTTGCAGTTCAGAGGTCTGTGCTGTAACAGTCTTCCAATTCCCTTCCTTTTTAGCCTCATTTTTCTGAGAGAAGCATTTAAATTTCATTACACAACACTATGTGAAAGAGCAAAGCATGGATAAAACTTACAGATTTTTCCAGGATAGTACGAGTTGGAAAATCAATTTCTAAAACATCTTTCAAATTTTGTAATAGACTATATTCTGGATCCCTGAAAAATAATGGAGAAAAGTTCTACTATAAAGTTTGTAAAATCATTGATAATTAACAATTATATTTTCAATGTACCTACCACAAATGCATGTTTCTGCTCAGCTTAATTCCCAGGGGTTTTACAACTTCATATATTTAAAAGAAAAAAAAAAGTTTAAAAATTTAGGGTTTGTTGCTGTCATTCTGTAAAGGAACATCTGATATATAATTTGTTTCTTAATTAGTTGATTTGAAAATCGAAATCAAATGTTTAAATATACAGTTCCAAATGAGACATTTTTATATGAATAATTTCTACTACTATTTATCAATGATTGACAAGGATTTCATGATTCTATTAAAAATAATAGTTCTCAGATCTTGTACCATGGTCAGCTCCAAGGAAGCAGCACTCAGGAAGCATAGTAGGATGCCTGGGGTCTACTTCTACATTTATGGAAGCATTATTCCCTGGAATGAAAGATTAAAATTTTTAAAAGTCGAAGAGTTCATCAAACAAGCCCAAAAACATAAAGGAATGTTGTCTAGCTGCCAGTTTTATTGTATGCCCAAGAAAAGATGTTTTATAAATAGCATTTATAAAGGTAAGTATCAGTTTAACCAAAAGAACTTTGAAATTATGATGATCACTAAAGATTCAGGGATGTTTCTAAACATGTTTCTAAACAACAGTTAATTAATGAATTCAGATTAAATTGGGATTCTGGTCAATTCTATTACAGTAAAGTTTAAATAGAAATTTCCTATAATGATTAAAACTTTTAATATCAAAAACTTCACAGTGAAAGAAATAATGATCTGCTAGACAGGTGGTCCATGCCTTTAATCCCAGCTACTCTGGAGGCTGAGGTAGGAGAAGTGCAAGTTTGAGGACAGCCTGAACAACAAAGGAAGACTATCTCAAAATAAAGAGCTGGGGATGGTAGAGTGTTTGCTAAGTATGCATAAGGGCCTGGGTTCAATTCCTACTTAAAAAAAAAAAAAAGTAATGATTTAAATTATTTTCATGTCTGTCTTTTTTTTTTTTTTTTGGTACCAGGGATCGAACTTGGGTCCTTGCACTTGTGAGGCAGGTGCCGGAACCGCTGAGCTAAATCCCAGGCCCTTCATGTCTGTCTTGAAAAAGAACTAGGTCAAATGTAAAGACTAGTGATACAATAAATGGTAAAAATAAAGTTTAAATTTTATGAAAATTTATAAAAACACTTTCTGAGTTCTTTTGCTCCATCCATATGGAAGCTTTCCCTTGTAGTTGAAAAAGGATTCAGTTCACATTAAATTGAAAATTGTTCATTTACTAACAAAAACAATATTTTGCAGAGTCTGAAAGTATTTCTACTTTTGAATTCTTCACTGGATTCAAAGTTTTAACTGTACAGGAGTATAGTATAGATTTCAAAAACTGTACTTATTTTGAGAAGGTATTTCATTTTTATGGGGAAAATGTCTCCATAACTTCTATATACTGTTAAATGAGCCTTCTGCTAAAGTTGGCAATAATATAAATAGAATTGTTACAAATCTGGCTAAGAGTTATCAAGGTATATATCTATTCATTATATAAAATAAAATCAAAGAGACAACCTCATTTGTTCATATATTCTTTGCTATGAACATAAATTTCTTAGTAGCCTTTAGCAATTACTAAAGCCTTCAGAAAGTACTTTCACTTAAATGATAGCTACATTAACTAATCTTTCAATTAATTTGTTCAAAATTTGGTCCTAACGTGGGAAATCAATGCCTGAAAAGGAGTGAAAGAGTAATGATAAATATAAAGAGTGAATAACAACTAGACAGTTTGTGTTGGATAAAAATATAATTAAAAATATATTTTAAGAATAATTACAGTATTTTAATGAGGCCATGAAAATAATAAATTACATTTCTTTGTTGAAACTATTTTCATTCTTAATCTCTACTTGTTCACAAATATATCATAATTTGGTTAATTATTCCAAATTAAATACTATTATACATTTCTAAACTGGCAAAATAACAATACTATTTTTAGAACATGTCACTTCCCTCCAATTACAGATAATCTATTATGCCTAGGTAGAAAGGTACAAAAATTGTTCACTAATTTAGATATGATCTACATCAGAATTTTAAAATGTCCTTCAGAATATAAGCCTTTCAAAACATACCTATTTAGAGGAAAGAGATAAAGGGTAGTTTAAAACCAGGCATTGTATTTAACATGGACAGAAATACAGTTTAAAAGATCTAAAATCTTGAGAAAGATTAACTCTAAAAGTGACTTTGTTTTGGTTGCTTGTAATGAAAATCCACACCATTTCATAGTCAATTCAATATAACATTACAGGAATATTTATTGCTATACCATATCTTACACTTTAATTTCACATATTCATCATAAAAAATTTACAGTATTTAAAATATATTCTATTCTTATTTTGTGCTGGTTAATGGCATGGTCTACTTCAGGTGCTTTTATCCTCTATTTTTGTCAAAATATAGTACCTATATGATTAAGTTTTACAGATGAAGACTTCATTAATTCTAACACAGCTTTTTTTTCCCTAAGTAATGTAACTTTGAATAACTTCCACTTCACAATTTCTGTGCCAATTAAAAGCCAATTAAAGGCCGGGGATTTAGCTCAGTGGTTCTGGCGCCTGCATCATAAGCGCAAGGTCCCGAGTTTGATCCCCGGTACCAAAAAAAAAAAAAAATGCCAATTAAATACTCTGTTACTTCCACTCTCTTATCACCTGTTATACTGAAATTTCCCCTTTCACCTAAAATATTTACATTTAAGTATGTGGTGATAAAATAAATCATAATTTACCCCAAAAAGTAAAAGCTGACTCCATTCCAAGAATTTTCATCTAAGATTTCAACTGTCATCTTTAGATTTATTTTAATAATACAAAAGAAAAGTCTGAAAACATCTGAAAATAAAATTCATAGTCTTCTTTTGTCCCTACCTAATGCAATTCTGCGTGCTGTTGCACTCCGTGTAGGTTTCTGTGGCTCAAGTACCCAGGTCTTCTCATCGATTTCATCCATTACATCCCAAAATGCCTTCAATGATTCTAATGCTGCCAAAAACTGACTATGAATGCTTATTAAGGAGCTCTGTGAAAAGAGGAAAGCCAAGGAAGTTAGTTATATGGCACTCTATGGTATATTAAGTTTCACTCAATTTAGAAATTTAGAAATTCTAACCTGTTTCGTTTCACCAGAGTATAAACTAGAGTCCACTCTCCCTGCTTTGCATCTCTTCACCTACATTAGCATTAACATACTGTCACTAGACTTTATAGCTTAAAACCACATTTTAATAACTATATCACTAATATGTATATAATTTTACTAATGCATACCATATATCTGATGCATTCAGAATAGTGTGTAATTTTAGTGTGAGAATAACCTTAATTTCATTTTTTGGTTACAAAATGAAGTTGAATACAGTGCTATTTATAACTTGATTAAACTATCTTTTAAACACTTAGGAAATAAATTTGCAGACATAATTAGACAAAAAGTATGAAGAGGTTTAATATAATTTTTAAGGATTCAAACAAATTATGACTTTTTTCTGTGTTTAACCTTCAGTCACTCTCTGAATCCACTGTTTCAGACAATCTTTTATGGGAGTTAGCTTAAATGGATTTTCACTAATAAATAAGTAAAGCCATCACTTTCTTTAGAAAACAATTTAGTTTTTACTTTTAAACAGTCTCGAGTTTCTCATAAAACAATGTTAAGTTTAAAAGATACAACTACAACTACAATTATAAATAGAAAAAGTATTGGTAAGATGAGTTTTAAAAGAATTAAGGGCTTTAGACACTTTTTCAAACAAGCAAAACATACAAAGTCACTGAAAATAGTGTAAGTATATTCATCCAAAATTAAGTGACACAATACAAGACTCATACTTCTACAAGATTCAGGCAGTCCAGCTTGAAAGGAAAAAGGCATCCTTAAGAACATTTTCACCATAATTTTAATAAGTAATATTTTATTTCTGTAATAAATTTGGGGATTAGAGTACATGGTAATTTGCAAAAATGGAATTCATTTTATAAGATTAGACCTACCTACAGAAGAAAAAGTCTTATCTTCAACTTAAAATACTCAATTTGAAACCATATTCAATAAACTGTCTGTAAAGAAAGCTAGTCTTTGTTTACAACACATCAAATAATATAAAATGAAATAAGGAGGGCCGAGGATTTAGCTCAGTGGTTCTGGCGCCTGCCTTGCAAGCACAAGGACCTGAGTTCGATCCCCGGTACCAAAAAAAAAAAAAAAATTAAATAAGGAAATATACAATGAAATTATGTCCTAATAATATAAAATTAAATAAGCAAACACACAATGAAATTTGTCCTAATACAATTCATTACAGTGACTATGAATAATGTGTCTACTAATAGTTCTGCTCAATACTAGAAAATGATGGTGTTAAAATAGTATATTGCTTAAAAAATATATTGTTGGGCCAGGGATTTAGCTCAGTGGTGCTGCACCTGCCTGGTAAACACAAGGTCCTGAGTTCAATTTCCAGTAGTGGAAAAGGACTGAGGGAGAGGGAGAGAGGGAGAGGAAGGAAGGAAGGAGAAAGGAAAGGAAAGGAAAGGAAGGGAAGGAGGAGAGGGGAGGGGAAGGGAAAGAAAGGGAAAGGAAGGAAGAGAAGGGAAGGAAGGAAGAAAAACGAGGAAAGGAAAAGAGAAAAGAGAGGAGGGGAGGGGAGGGGAGGGGAGGAGAGGAGAGGAGAGAGGAGAGGAGAGGAGAGAAGATTGTTTATGATCACAGACTCAAGTTACATCTTAAGTCCCATCCCTACTCTACCACTTAAGGTCAGCTTTGCATCTTTGTCAACAAATTCCTTAAACTCACTTAGCCTTATCTGTTAGCAAGCCTTCTATCATAGTAATGATGTATCTGAGATAATTAACTTATAAAGAGAAGGGTTATTTTGCTGCATTGTTTTAAGAGTTTCCAGTCTAGTAACAGGAAGACCCACTGCTTTGGGCCTCTGATGAGGGTGCCAGATGAGAATGACAGGGAAAGTAAGGTAAAGTGAACTACTCACCTCATGGCCAGTAAATAAAAGGGAGTGAGGAGGAAGAGGCCAGAACCCTATAATTCTCTTCTAGGGCATGGCCCCAGTGACCTAAGGACTGACCACTAGGCCCCACCTCCTAAAGGTTCTAGCACCTCCCACCCCAAGAACCAAGCTTTTTCCACGCATCGGCCTTAGGGGACACTTAATCAAACACTTCCTTCTGTAACATGGAGTGATGTTAATCCTCAAAAAATTTCAGATGTCAATAAAATGGTAACTGATTAGCATAATGTGAACATTTCAAATTTTGTAGTCATTTTTACTTATTTATTTGGTACCAGGGATAAAACTCAGGACCCTGCACTTGCAAAGCAGGTGCCGGAACCACTGAGCTAAATCCCCAGCCCTTGTAGTCATTTTTATAAGAGATAATCTTTGACCTAGAGACATTCACAGCGTAATAAAGGAAATAGCAAATATGAAAATATCAGTACCAAATTAGCAAAGGACTGATACGCTTAATATATACTTGGTTATTCATAAAATCAATTATAAAATAAAGATATTAATAGAAAAATAGAAGGTAAAATAATAATTCTCTAAAGACAACATATGATCTAATAAAAAATAGCCTCATAAATTTACACCATTATACCTCTAATTGCAGAGCTTCTGGATAAAAGTAAATTAGAAAAGTCTGAGTTAGAGAGTGGTAGAAAAAAATGAAGTATGCTGGATAGGGAATCTACATTCTCCAACATAGCTTCTCCTTAAGTAACAGCTCAATTCCATGTTTTGGCTCCTCTCTTACAGCATTCCCACTATAAGTTACTACTTCATTCCAGAACCTCATCAAAGAAGCTAGCAATTTGCAGATCCTAGAAGACCTTGATCTATGCTCTTAATACATTCAAAAATAATCAATAGTACTCTAGTTCCAAATCTGCTCCAATGACTTTTCCACTTTCTCGGTGTGAAAATTTTTTTCTTCTTTGTACTTTTTACTTCCTACAAACCTTTGCTTAAATAGAAATAAATGCTCTATTAGCCACCCTTTCATTTCATATGCATAGCATAGTGAAATATATATTAAAGTTAATTCAATAAAATTAATATTTCAAACATGTGCCAGGGCTGTCTTGGGTTTTCTGATACAAAGATAAAAGCACCCAGCTTATAAGAAGTCACAGCCCTAATTTGAAGAGTAACAAAGCGTTTGATCGTAACCAAGACATACTTAGCTTCTCTAAGCTTAAACACTGCATTTATAAATGTGGGTGTACAGTAGATAATTTTTAAGGTGATTTATAGTCTTAAAAGGGAAGAATTCTAAATACTGTATACTGCTTGAAAATCCATAAGGTAGGTAATATATTTCACTTAAAATACCTATAATCCCTTTTAAGTTGTCAGTTACTATAATGTACTCCCATTTATTTTTAATTCTCATTTGCAGATTTTATCAATCAAGTTATATAAATACACATCTATTAAACAATGCATATTCAATTTCTTTTTTATCAAATGTTTCATATCAAAAATAGCTTTTATATGAGAATCAAAATATTTAGATCACATTATATTCTTCATAGTCCTATGTATTTAAGGGAAATGCATTGCATGACTACTATTATTTTCTAAAATACAGGGCAAAAATTAGTCTTCCAAAATACTGATGTTTTGAAATAGGCTTATAACCCACCAACTCCTAACATGCATAGTGAACTAATTATATGGCTTAAATATAATGAAGGTCTAAAAATTACACCCAGATTATTTCAAATGAATTTACTGACAAAAGGAAAATAAAATGCTTTTTTGTATATTCATACCTGTACAATATCATGATTAAAGAAAATATAATTTAAAAGATATAAAACAAAAAAATTGGGGAGGACAATAAAAAGCAGGGAAAAAAATCAAACAATCTAATCAATAAAAATACACATAAGGCTGAGTTTCCTTAACACAATAAATTCTCTTACAGAAAAGTATTCCAGAAACCAAGGTAATAATGCAGAAGCTTCTCAGCGAAAGCTTTACTGTGACTGGAAGAAGGATGGTAAATAACATCTTTAAAATACCTCAAGGAGGGAGGAACGGACAGTGGGAGGGAGGAAAGGAGAGAATGAATATGAAACAAGGTAAGAAACAGCAGTCTAGTACATACTATTTCATCTACCTCAAAAGGTTTGCAGCAAAGGACCATGTTGAAGGCACATCAACCACAATAGATAATTTTTAAAGATCTGTCTTATAATGTGGGAAAGGACTGTAGCAAAAAAAAAAAAAAAAAAAAAAGTACAGCCTAACAAGAGAAATTGGAAAACTATCTCAATAACACTACATGCATAGAGAACACAAGAGCCAAATTCAACAGAAAGATATTCCTTGATACAAAGTCTAATCTTCCTATAGTGAAAAGGCCACAATAATTTTTAGAATAATACTTTTAAAGGAAAACTAGACATCTCCAAATGATTTGAAAAGAGCAGGCATAAATTAAGAAATCAGCCCAGTATTAGGTTCACCTAAGTTACTTAGTGAAATCCTCTGCACCTAATTCAGTTATCTGGACTGCTCAGTAATACAGACTTGTCCATAAAAAGATCTTTATTTAGGATCCTTGTGTTGATCACTACAATTTTATGAGGATACCTAAATGAAAAGATTTCTGAATAAATCATCTATTCAGTATGATACCATTCATATTTAAATCCTGAGATCATGAACCATTAGAAAGTTAGTCTAGCCAAAGTTCACCAAATCATGATCTTACAAAAAACTACAAGGCTTATTTTATGTCTTAAATAGTTTTGCAATGCTGAAGTACAGATCAGTCTACATTAGCAATACTCACCAACTTTTATAGTGGAAGGTATGGATGAATCTAGTATTCCAATATTTGAGCAGGAGAATGACAGGTTGGTTACTTTGTTCATGTTTAATAAATACATCAACAAATAACTAGGTGTCATTCTAAAAACCTTGAAAGATATCACATTTTCTAATCATTGCTAATGAATCATAAGCCAATGGAAGGTAGATTTTATGTTTAGCTCCATGATGAGAGGATATAACCTTACTGAAAGATGTTCATGGCCTGGTTTCTAGAGTCATCATCTGCTGATGAATTATTTGTATGTTTAGGGCTAAACTCCTCAAAATATATGAGGCAATGTTAAGAAACACCTTTCTTTTATTGCACAAACAAAGTAGGTTTAAGTGCAACTAAAAACAGTGCCTATAGCCCAGTGAGTTATAAAGAAGTCAAAGAAAACCTTTCAAATTGTGGTGACAAGGGAAGTTAATAACAATTGTGAAGATTACAATTTTCTAGGGTGAAGTATATCATCTGAAAGCTTAGTGCAGCTTCTGATTTATGAATTGATCTAAAGAAGGGCTGTCAAATTCAGCTGTTAAGGAAGTCATACATAGTTGCATAGGTTTTGTTGTTCAAGCTTGAAAAGCAAGTCTTAAAAGAGCAAAGAGGATTTGGGGGGGTTGGGGAGTGTACCACATAGCATCTCGCTAAATTGTTCAGGGTAGCCTTGAATTTGTGGTCCTCCTGCTTCAGCCTCCAAAACAGCTGGGATTACAGGTGGGTTCCACTGTGCCTGGCAGGAATTTTTTTTTTAAGAAGATAAATTTCCATGCCATAAGTGTGACTGGTATATTTGAACCTCCGTCTTACACCATCTTTATCTATAGCATATGACAATGTAATTTCTCTGAGCTTGATCCGCCCTCAAAAAGCAAAGCCTGAGACAGAGCTTGTGTGGAGACAGTTTACTAAAAACAAATTTAGAGAATGGGAGTGGAAACTGCAAAGGGTGAAACAGATTAGGGAAAAGCCAAGATTAAGGGAGTGTTTTTAATCCCTTAATTTTTCAAACCATTAAGGGTGTGTGGTCAGTAGTGGCTTTAGGAGAAACTGTAGAGTAAGCCCCTCAGAATTCTTGTCCAAGAAATGGAATCCAAAAGCATTTATTTACTGGGTTCCATTCCCTCTGGTCAAGTTGCCCTGAAGAGAATTAATTCTCTCACATATCCAGGTTTGGTCACATGCATACCTAGTGGCTCCCACAAGCATCTTTGGGGCATGGAGGTGTGTGTGCGTGTGCGTGTGCGTGTGAGAGAGAGAGATAGAGACACAGAGAGAGAGAGAAAGAGACACAGAGACAGAGATACTGAGATATGAAGGAAAGAGCAGGAGAAAGCTGAGGTGAGGTGTTTTGACAGGATTCACCATTATGAAGCTGACTGAAACAATGTGTTTTGCAGTTAAGTATATTATGAAAACTTCACAAAAAATCCATTTACACACAGCTCTGATACCAGTAAAAGGAAGTAACAAGAATATATGTAAGTAACATACCTTTAACATATCTTTAACATGTTTAACATATCTTTAAATAACAAGAATATATGGCTATATAGAACACTGCCCATGTTGGGTTTTATTACTGAGCTTAATTCTTCATCTATTCTAAATACTAGTACATTATTAGGTATGTGATTTGCAAATATTTTCTCCTAGTCTGTAGCTTTCATTTTCATCCTAATAGTATCCTAGAGCAGAGAAATTTTTTAATTTTAATCAAGTCTAATTACCAATTTGTTCTTTTTTACAGATCTTGTGTTTAGTGGTATATTAAGAAAACCCTGCCTAACCTAAAGCCACACTTTCTCCCATGTTTCTTCTAGAAGTTTTAGATTTTATACTAAGCTTATGATCCACCAGGAGTTAATTTTTTTTATGCAGTTGAAGTTTCTTCTTGGCACACAAATACCCAACTATATTAGCATCACTGGCTGAAAAAACTGTCCTTATATTGAGCTGTCATTATACTTCTGTTGAAAATAGTTGTCTGTATTTGTATGGGTCTATTTCTAAATTATGTATTCAATGATCTGTCTACTATTATAACAATATGACATTATCTTAATAAGGTAGGTTTATAAGTCTTTATATCAAGCAGGATTAGTCTTCCAGTTTTGTTTTCAGAGTTATTTTGACACTCTATATGGTCCTTTGCTTTTTCAAACAAATTTTAAGATAATTTTGTCAATGTTTAAAATAACTTTGTTGAAATCTATAGATTAATTTGGAGAGAAGTGAATTTCTAACAATATTAAATCTTCCAAGTCATGAACATGGTATTTCTCCACTAATTTAGGCATTAAGACAGAAATATGGAGGCATTTCAATAGAGAAGATATGTAATGATAAGCACATGAAAAGATATTCAACACTGAATACCTATTATAGTAACTAAAATGAAAAAACAAAACAAAACTGATCTATACCAAACATTAGCAAGGTAGCTAAACAGGAATTCTGAAACACTACTGTAGAAAATGTAAAACATCACAACCAATAAAAAAATAAAAAATAAAAAAAAAACACAACCAATACTGAAAAAGTTTGGTAGTTCCTTAAAAAATTAAAGATATACCTCCTATATGATCCAGCCATGGTCCCCTACCTAAGTATTTACCAAACAGAACTGAAAACATGTTTATATAATACCACTGACATAATGTTCACAGCAGCTTTATTTGTAATAGCCAAATCCTGAAAACAATCCATATGCACAACAGCAGATGAATGGAGAATGTATCTACAAATAAATAGGAATAAAAAGTGAACTACATTACACGCTACAACATGGATAAGCATCAAAGTAATTATATTGAGGAAAGAAGACTTAAGTACACAAAATTATAAATGAGTATATAAAATTATAAAAAAATGCAAACAAATATACAGTGACAGGAAATATTTCAATGTTTCCAGGGGACTAGGAAGGCATGGCAGGGATAGGAGGGAGGGACTACAAAGGGGAAAGCTGTAAGTTGGGTGTGATGAAAATGTTTATTATTTTGATTATGGAGATGATTTCATGAGTAAATATTAGTCAAAACACACTGAACACTTTAAATATGTTCAATGTCAATTATAGCTTAATAAATACAGCTTTTTAAAAAAACTCATTCTGATTTCTAAACAGTAGTTGATCTACATGGGAGTAACTTCTCTGCAAGTTTCTCAACAACTAGGAACTTAAAAATAAACATAGAACAGCAACATTTCTTAAAGTAGGGACAAGGATATAAAATAACAGTTTAAACACCACTTAGGAATTAAAGGTTATCAATTTGTGTGTGTGTGTGTGTGTGTGTGTGTGTGTGTGTGTGTGTGTGGTATGCACTGGAGAAAGAAGATATATATAGAAACCATGATGCCAGCTATTCTCCCTAATAGTTATTAAATTATGTTAAACTAGGAAAGCACTTAAGCAGAAAAGTGTGAACACTGCCAATCTCAAAATGTAACGCTTATTATCTTTAAAAGCATTTTGTTACTTTCATAATACCTGAAGTGAAGTAATAATGTCAGTCACTTAACCAGATCTTAGAGTATAATATCTTCATCTTAAGGACTATTATTTCCAGTATTTTAATAATGTTCACATAGTCCCAGAATGTGATCTTTTGTGCTCTGATGACACTTAAATTAATAGCATAATTTTCTGGTACTTGCAACATTTGCTTCCCATTCTGATTTTTTTATACTTCCCTGTAAGACTTGAAGATAAATCCTCTAATAATCATTTTTGTCTTTATCTTTGGGGGATTCAAAAAGCTTCAACAGAATAAGGAAATATTAAGATATTAAATTTTAAGAAATTTAATCTTCATATTAATTGCAATATTTCCATGATCAGGTGACAAATCTAAATATTCAGGTCACTGATCTTATTTGCATGCTTCATTGATGTTCTCAACTCTTTCTATAAATATATCTATATAGATATATCAACTTTATTTAATCAAATTCTGCTTTCTGTCAAGCAACCCATAAGGAACTTTTATCATCTCTTACACACTTAAAGACTATTTTGACTACAGATTACTGTGCATTTAAAATATTTGCTACTATTTTTGATACATGTAAAAAAGAAGGTATCTACCACAGGGCCAAATCACCTCGTGTGTACTCATCAAAGAATGCATGGCTTTTTTAAAAAAAGAAAATGTCAAGTACATGTTGAAAACTGGCACTTTCAATTTTGTCCTTAGCTATTTTGTTATAGATTTTTAAAAAATCAGGCCAATTAGTAAAAAATAAACAATACAGCTTTTTGTTCTTTAGGGTGTACTGAAAAAGGGGACTTCCAACAATAAGAAAAAAAGCTGTACTTAATTTTCTATCATTCATACTAAAAACAACAAGGTTTCAATATATAGTCACAAGAATATTTACTTTTAGATAAATATGAGACTAACAGTGAGTGCTGTTGGCTACCAATGTTATTCTCACTGCCAGAGCAAGGGAACTAACTACAGTAACACAATTTTAAAAATAAATACTGTTCCACTGTCTTTACTACCTACCAATTCCAGTATTCTAGTTCGCTTCACTACATCTACCGGCTAAATTGGTTTGACTTCTAATAATCAACTTCTATTTTGTGAAAATAAAATGGGGGTCATGGAGGGTGTGGGTGGGGTGATTATTTCCTGGCTGAAAGTATTACTATCGCTCAGTGATTCTAGTAGATACTATTTGAATTAACACTTTTCATAACTGAATTATCATTTTTGTCTTCAATCCACTGAATTTTTATCCCCAAAATGGCCATTTACTTTTCCAAAAGGATAGTCTAAAACTCCCATAATAAACATATCAAATTACCCTTTGGATAAAAAGAAAAATCAAAGTACAAACACTTTATCAATTTACCAGGCAGAATCCTGACAGGAACAAAACATGAGATACAGAATGTTAATGAATTTTACATGTTACAACACATTTGCTTCAATATTAGCTAAAATAATCTTGCTTTATTTAAAAGTATTTTAAAATATAAATCACAACATTAAGAAGCCATTTAGACACTGATGTATTTTTATTTTACTTGGGATACCTGTTACATAAAAATATTTTATTGATTTACTCTAAATCATTAAGTATTAGTTTAAGTATTAACAATATGTTAACCAATAAACTATAAAACCAAACAATATTACTCTTAACATCTTTTATTTATATGCTCATAATACAATGTAATACAATCATCTGCCACATCCATAGCCTGGTGAGACTGACAGTCATTTTTCATTAGTCATCTCTATTTCACTTTTGAACATCAGAAAATTCCTTGGTGCTGCATTAAAATGGAGATAGTGTCTTTAATCGAATATATATTTATACCAACTATTTGTTGTTATATAGATATGTATAGGTATTTATATGCAGATATATAAATGTATATGGATAGACATTATTTGTCTATCTAAGGCACATTCCCTACTTTTATGAAGGTAAATGATTGATGCAAGTTTGTATACTGGTAAATACTGACACAAGATTTAATCAGACTTTTAAGACTGTATTCTCTTTTTACCATGCTATAGTGGTCCAGGAGAATAAACTATGACATTTGCCATGAAGATCTATAACAAAAGTCTGATTTATTAACATCAGCAGGTAAGTCATTTAAAATGTAACTAAGGTAGCAGTGGAGGCACCTGATAACCTACCAAAAAGATAAAAAGCTACTCTTTTTGGGTCTTTTAATTCTTGGAAGAGTTTTACCATTCCACAGAAGTATCTTGTATGTTCACACACAATGCATAGATCTCAAATCTTCTACAAGGCTTTTAACACACTTTGGCGATCTTGTAAACCAAGTGAAAATACAATAACATGAATCTTCTTCAACTGGCAAATAATTTCTGAGATTTAAAGTCACACACTATCTGCCCACTAAAAACATTAAATTAGATATATCATAGACATATGGAGGTTGAATGAGTTATACAACTTACAGAACTAAGGAAGTAAGAGTAACAAAATAAATGGTAACTCAGAGTAACAAAAAGCAGGGTGACAAAGGAAAAGTACAGCTAACTACACACTGCTTATCTCTCTGCATAGTACACATACATATTCATTATAAACACTGAGTATTTACATCAAAATTACAATATAATTTTTGGCAGAGAACAAGAAGTATCCATGTGTGTGGAGTGGGAACAGGTAGAGAAATAGTAAATACATTTCACAGTGGGAAACTAATAAACCATGCCTAAAACAAACAAAAGGTACCATAAATATATGACTATTATATTATAAAACTGCTATAGTTTGGATTTCAAATGTCCCCCAGTGAGTTAAAGGCTTGATCCCCAGAGTGGCAGTATTGGGAGGCAGTAGAAATCTTTAAATAGTAGGGCTTATTGGGACATCTTAGTCACTGGGAATGTGCACTCAAAGGGAATAGTGGGATTCCAGGCCCTTCCTCTCTCTTTTGCATCTGGGCCACCTGATGAACATTTTTGCTGTATGACATATTCCACCAAAATCTGCCCTGGCTCCTCCCCCCCACCCCACCCCCGCCAATTCTCCTACTCCACACAGCAGATGTCTAAAAGCAATTAAGTCTGATTATGAACTGACACATCTTGATTATTTTGGTGAGCCAAAACAAACCTTTAAACCTTGTAAGTTAGATCAGGTATTTTTTATAATGATGGAAAACTGAATACCACAAATACCAAGGTGATCAGCTAGCAGTTAAAAAGTGGATGACCTTGAAGAAAGGGAAACAGATGGGAAGGAGCCTGGGAAATGTTGATTTATCTAAAAGAAAAAATAAAAAGGGTGTACCTCAGTAGTAGAGTTCTTTCCTAGTATGCACAAAGGTCTGGACATAAGACCCTGGGTTCAATCCCCAGTACTTCATTAAAAAAAGACAAAACACCTTGTAAAATTACCTCTTCACACTATGTTCATGTATAATTTTGATAAAAATAATTTTTAAAAAAATTAATAGGTTGGCCAAATTGTGATAAACTACAAAATACAAATAAAAATACTTTATTCATAATAGTAATAAAATGTTTAAATATTCAACAAAAATATGTAACACGTAGTTTAAGAAATCACTTAAAATTACAGAACTAAGGAAATGGATCTATGGAAAGATCTATAAATGAAAAGATAACAAGTTCCTAGACTGTGAATATCTAAATTCTTAATTTGACAGAGAAATGTAAATCAAATTATAGCAAAAACCCCAATGAGTCTAAAGATCACCTGGAATTAGTATAAGGTATTATCAATGATGTTTTAAAAATGAAATTTGCTAAATTACAAAGCATAATTTCTAAACTATAATCTAGTGAGAATCCAATTCTAAATAAAAGCATTAAAGATAATTTTATATTTTCTTGATTTTGCTTGCTTGTATTTTCTGTCTTTCTTTTACAGAATTAATTCAGGATAATTTTTAAATGAATAAGTTATTTAGAAAGAAGAAAGAAAAGCAGTTAATACAGTGACTGACTCTAATAGGTCCCATGATTCCTTCACTTATACTTTATCATATCAAAATAATGAATTTTGTTTTGATCCTTTTATCCATACCACTGTGGCAATAAAATATCCAACAAATGAAAGTATATGTAATTAGCCAATTTAGGACTGCACAGAAATCCAGTACTATGAGCTCTCTAAGACAGCAAAGAAAAGAATGAAAATCTTGTTGGTTAAAAAAAAAAATTTCCACAGAATCTTTACAGTAGATAATTAAGTTGTTTGTTTGGGCTCCTGACATTGTGTTTGTTTTAGACAAAACTAATTTTTCTTTACATATCAATGAAAAAGTTCACATTCATATGAACTGAGGCAAAAGGCAGTCATGTGACTTGTTTGAAATTATACAATTAAGTCAATGGCTGAACTGTAAACAGAGCCTAGGATACCCAACTGCTAGTCTGCCGCTCTAACTAATGGATCATGCTCCCTGCTATGTAATAGGACTGTTTTCTTTAATTACAAATTCTTCATTCACCATCAGATTATCAGCCAGAGGCTTTATCATTAGTTTTGCTCTTCTTCATTCATGGCACCATTCCAAGAATATCAGATTTCCATGATAAAAAACATAAAAACCACTATTTATTGCATCATACCAAATCTGAAAATTCTAACGGCCTATGGCAAGGATGCTTCACCAAATCTCAATTGCACATTTACAGGTAGAACTGCAAATTAAACAGCTAATTTTGGTCACTCAGTGACCTGGACAATATGAAGTTCATTTTTTATATAATAATACCAGTACACTTAAAATCTGACAGTAGCACATTCTCATTAGTCAACAATACTGACATATGACTTGTATGTAAAAATCTAAAAGGCAGCAGAATGTTTTTTTAAAATATATTTTTGAACACATGTAGAGAAGTAGAATAAGACAAAAATCATGAGATTACATTCTGTGCTAAAATCTATTAAAGAGAGTTTACTAAGCAGACAAAAGTAAATATCTCTAAAGAGGTATTTAGCCTCTTGTTTTTGAGGCTTACTTTGTCTTTCTTTGGCACATAGAGTAGCAATAGTAGCAGCAGCCTTGCCCTTGGTGCTGATTTCTTCTTACTCTAAATGTCTCCTCTGAGCCAGAATACACTGGCTGTTGCTGATCATGCTGTGAGACACCTGCACTGGCTACTAGGCTTGTCATGACGCACAAAACCCTACCATCTTCAGCTTGACATTGTGCAAGTTATAATTATTCATCCAAATGAATATGTCAGAGCAGCAGCAGCAGACCTCTCATCAGAGCAAAAGAAAAATACATCAAAACATTATCAACTCAGCAGGAAGACAGGGACCATAAGGAAAATTACCCATTTTTAATATGGATGCCACAAAGCCATGTCTATTATATTACAAAAAGAAAGGAAAATAGAGATCTTCCAAGTTTAAAGTCCAGAAACAATCGAAATAGGAAATGTACAAAAGCAAAGATTTTTAAAAATCAATTACCTAAAGCCTATTTACAGTCTCTTAAATATAACTTTACTACTGGACTACAACAGTAATGTACACGTTGCTTAAGAACAACTGTTTAAAAAGTGTTAAAACCAAAAATAAACTCACACAAGCAGAACTGTTTTCAGCTAGTCGATAAAAAAGGATCACATATCAGCTAAGTCATTCTGTTTTTTAACTTTCAAATTATAAATATTAGCAACACTTTTATTATGTTTAAAAGATTCAAATAGTTCATGCTGCTGGTACCATAACAAATATTCTTATGATATACAGCCAGACTCTTATATACAAGTAATTTTTGGAAACTTTTGAAATATTAATAGCAAGACTAAAAGGAAAGGTTTGAAATGATCTCAGAATTCCACACAATGAGACATCTTCAAATTCTACCAGTATATAGATTTAATATAAAAAGTATAACTTTAGTCTGCTATCTCATATTTAAATAAATGTAAGAAAACTAAAACTTTCAGAACAAATGGTAAGAGTATATACTTTAAGAAAAAGGTATGGAAAAATTGAGACACAAAAAAAGGAGAAATCCTAAGGAAGAAAGCAATAAACGTGAACATACTGAAAGTTAAACTTCTGTATGACAAAACATATACAAAGTTAAAAGACATGCCACAGGGAGAAGATAGTCACAAAACATTAGTATCAAAAATACATAAAGTAGGGCCAGGGATTTAGCTCAGTGGTTCTGTTGCTTGCCTTGCAAGCACAAGGACCCAGGTTCGATCCCTGGTACCAAAAAAAAAAAAAAAAAATACATAAAGTAAGAAAAGATAATGAACACAATAATCATGATTATCAATTGTTGATGCGAATTAAGGTCAAACTAAGATCAGAATAAAACTTTGAAAAGATTTGGCAAAGACACTGCTAAATGAAACTATACATTTGTACAACCAATCTGGGAAGAAAACTTGGCAATATTTTAGTAACCCAAAGAGGGACATTCCATACAACCCAGCATTTTCACTCCTACAAATAATCCACACTAATGTCTTATATATGTGCACAAGGAAACACGTCAAGGTGTTCACTACAGGCTGCTAGCAAGAAACTTTGAATACTGTATCATTAGGGCAATAGATAACCATTGATAGACATAATATAATATTTAAATATATGTATAATACAGATCATGAATAAATCACTGAAATAATACTGTATAAAAAAGTCAAACTGTAAATGACATAAAAATGTACCAAAACATATGCATAGATTAGCATACATATCAGTTTCAGGGAAACAGACCTCTTTAGAAAGGGAAAGAAGCAAGAAGGAAAGAAGAAATAGGAAAATGAGTGGGATCTGTGCTGTTTCCAGAATATTTTATTTCTAAGACAAAGAGAACTAGAAATATAGCTGAAGCAAGTATGACAAAACAATAACAGTTGTCAAATTTGACTTGTGGGTTAAAAGGAGTCTTCATTTATTCCTTACTTTGCTAATAATTTTAGTATATTCTATAATTAAAGAAAAATTTATGAAATTCTAGTTACTACTAATTGTTTTCTGAGTGAGCTATTACAAAAAAAGGCTCAATTAAATGTAAAATTTGAATTATTATAGTCATTTTACACTTACATGTACAAGGCACTGACCTTGCTAAGCAGGAATAAAAAAATCTAAAGAAAAAAATCACTCTCAAAGATATTCCAATCTGGTAGACGCAGACCAATTCTGCTGTGATGCAAACGTGTTCATAAAGTCTGGGGAAACATTGTACAGTTATCTACGTTTTTAAAAAAAATCTTTATATAAAACTTGTGAAAATTATACTCAACTTTGGGATGGTTACAAACATGAATGTGTAATTTAAAGATAAAATCTAGAAAATTGTAATATAATCCAGATACAGTATTTTCTCATGACCTTTCTTTTTAAAACAGAAAGATAAAGCTTCTAGAGCCAAATAGAAACTACATGCTTAAAAAAACAAGAAAGCAGGGCCAGGGATTTAGCCCAATGGCACCACGCCTGCCTTGCAAGGTCCTGAGTTCATCCCTGGTACCAAAACAAAAAACAAAAAACAAAAAACAAACCAAGACAGCAATAAAACTGTTATGTAATTCCCATTCTTGAAAGGAAAAAAAAAATCAACATAATATTTTTTATAAATGTATAACAAACATAAAATACCTAAAGCAAAACACAGCATTTTTCTTCTCCTTTATTTTGCTATATTTTCTAAATTCCCACTGAAGAAAAATTTCTTTTTGAAGAACAAAATGAGAATAATAATTTTTAAATAAATCTGATTAAAATGATATTTGGGACTACATAAGGCTATTTATATCTGCTACATTTTTGAAACTAATTTGATATGTGGTAACTCTTAGGTGCATATAATTTAAAATGGAAGTACACATTTTACTTGAAGTACACATTTTATTTTTTTTACACATTTATCAAGATTTCCTAACGACAATAAAGTTGGGTATCATTTAGAGAACATTTGTAAAGTATTATTAGAAAATTTTTTCTCTTTGCCTAAGACAGAATATTTTCTCTTTTTTGCTATTAAAACAATTGATCTGGTGGAAGAAGGACTATGTCTATCATTATAGACTGTTCTCTGAACTGAATAACCACATTTTGTCACATCTTCAAAAAATCACATAGATCAAATTTTTTTGTACTATTGATAATTATAACTATATAATGTTACACTTTACACACACTTGTAAAAATACCTTGGTAGATATTATTTATGTTGTGAGAAATTAAATGAATAGAAGCAGGCAAAAGAATACACAATCTTTACTCAAAGTACAAAACACTAAAGCACATAAAAATATAAAGTCTACATTCAAAGATAAACAATTTATCACAATAAAAATTGAGTATAAATTGCAGGATTTATATTTTCATTCTTCTTTGATAAAAATTTTCTGATATAATGTTATCAGTGTTTAAAATTTTAACAATATAAAAAATTATACCTACTTTTCTACTTACTGGTCACTGCTTTCAAAAGAATTCTTTAGGATTTAAATTTAAAGAAAAATGTATGTCAATAGACTGCATGTTTACTGAAAGTGAAACAGGCTGGATTGCATGTGTGTATATATGCATGTTCATGTGTGTATTTGTATGTGTGGAGAAAGAGAAAATGGACACTATTAGAAAATATTGAATGAAGCATTATAGAAGGCCTATTTATAAATAAATGCTTAAAGAAAACTGAAAGACCACTTTATAACCTACAAAGGCCATTTGATTAAAAACTATATTTTTAAATTACTTATATTTAAGAATTTACCTGTGGTGTCCAGGAAACAGAAAATGGAACAGGAAAATCCACAAAACAATCAGGTGATTCTGCAGGGTGCTATGATAAAGCATAAAATTAGGTCATCTCTGGTTCTACTGAAGATTTTATGAGGTACTTTAGAAAAACTGGAAGTTTTAACTAGAAAAGTATTATATCTAAATATTTTGACTCTATTATTGTAGTGATGTTAAGAGTCAACGTATGCTTAGGAAGTACAAAAGATTGGTGGTTTGGGGATGCCAAATTAGTCACTGATAAGTAAAGAGTAATGTACTCAATATCAGGTCAGTTACTATGTTCTTATCTGAGAGGTGAACTGAACTGGATTTCTATTTAAAATAAAGCAAACTAGTTGATATTTAATCCTTTTTAGTCTAAAATTTAATTTCAAATAATTTCAGTCACCACTTAAATAGGCAGTATCTATAAAAACAATCAAGATATGCACAATGATTAGATACAACTATCAGTTTAAAAATGATTTTCCCATATTAAAGCAATTATTTTTGGCAAGACAATAAACAACAAAAAAAACCCAATGAAATATCTTCTGGTTCCTTAAGGAAAAATTAACAGTTGTAAGAAAAGGTTGGAAAATAATCATATAAATAGTGATAGCTATGAGAATAAATCAGGTTTCTAATTTAAAGACAACAGGTAATTTTTCTTGAAAATAATTTTCTTATGAGAGAGTTATACTTCATAATAACGCTAAAATCCAATTCTGGAATTTTCAAAGTCATATATAATTAAAAGTACTCCTTATATTAAATCACTAACGGGCTAAATAAAACTGTTTTAGGAAAACTTTCATTTGACAAATTATTTAAGGTAAGTTTTATACCTTTATTTTTTTCATTATTTTTCAGTAGTTCATTAGAAAGGCCAAAGAAGATTTTAAGAAATTATCTGAAATACCATATTTAACAAATATCAGTGCAATGGAAGACAATGTTTTCAAAATACTTAGTATTTAGCTACAATGATTAGCTGCCTAAAAAGAAACTTGGTATCAATTTTTACTGATTAAAATTCTCTGGCTATGTAAACTGATAACACAAAAACAAACAGATAAAAAACCATATAAAATATTATAATGCTTAAATTCTAAAAAAAAAAGTAAGGCTGAGATAAGGGAATCTATTTCAGAAAATTCAAAATATTACATGATGTATTTCAGAATATAACTCCTGTAATCAATGGAAAAACAATCTGTATACTATATTAAAAAGTTGTGTGATTATCTCCAAACAAATACAGGCAAAGACCTCAGCCCCCTCTGGTTTCACCTCTGTTAATTAACTTGTGTGATACTGGTCAAGTCATTTAATTTTTCTGGCTGTTTCACATGGAAAAATGATTAAAATCATCTGAAAATGTTTTTAAAACATCACTTTTCCCTCTACAATTTTAGGATTCTTTAAATATAATTATGCACAGTTAAATCTTCCTTAGGACAAGAACGGAAAACTTTAGTTCATGTTGGGTTGCTATTTATCTTCTAGATATACTAACAATGATCAGCATCATGCTATAACTAAAGCAATTTATCAATCTAGGCTAAGAAGTTAATGAAATGTTTACTGTATTGGAGTAGATATACCAAGTAAAATATCTGTGGCCTAGGGAGTCACTGAGTACATACACAGCTCACTTTGTTAAAAGACAATAAAATCCTTTAAGTAGGACTCAGCAGAGTAAACGGTACAAATGGACTGACACAGAAAGAGACCCAAAAAACTTTTTTTTTAAAAGTAGGTTATGATAAACATATTATCCCACATACATAGATGAATCCACTGTGTAGCTGGTAAAAGGATGAATCCACTATGTAGGTAGTAAAATGATGACATCTTACAAATGTATGTTTATATTTAAAATTATGTAAACATATAAAGATGTATATAAGTTGGACTATGTTGGTGTTTTTACTGCATATCTGTAATTTAAAAGAATATACAAATATATATGTATTGATAGCATTCACATGTAAGACCAATTTAGTTTATATAATAAACTACATAATTGTACAGAAACTAAAACGAGCAAATTTATGTGCATCTGGTGAGTTGAATTATTAAAACAGGAAATTGCATCCTAGGAATCCATTTTCATAATACATTATTAACTATAGTAGTACTACCATGTAAGTGACTACAATATTGCAAAATAGCTTGATCAAAATCAAGATAGTTTTTAATAATAAGTTGTATGTATATATGAAACTACAAAGAATTGTCTAGGAGTCTGAGCAATACTGCATAGATAGGAATTTTAACTGAAAAATAAGTATAGTGTTTAATTTGTTCTCCAAACCTCCGTTGAAGTAATCAACAAATATAAAAACTATTACACAATTTTAAGTATTCTTTAGACTTTATATTACTCTAAGAAAAAATTTAACCAAATCTTATCTAATTAGACTATCTTAGTAGTAAGGCTTAGATACACATCTGTGATTTGTTTGAAAGTAGGTCTGGTCTTGTCCAAAGCTGAGGAAGCTCTTGGGTACTTTTACAGAAAAGATAATTCTATACCACGTTCAGAATACATTGTTAAGCACCATATAAAAATATACTTATAACAACGATAACATTCCCTAATTATATTTCTTTTTAAAATTTATATATCTTTTGTTTTGTTTTGTTTTGTTTTGTTACCGGAGATCAAACTCAGGACCTTGTGCTTACGAGGCAGGCACTGGAACCACTGAGCTAAATCCCTGGCCCCTATAGATCTATTTTTAATAGGAGTTGTCCAGTCCAAATTAGTACTGTATTCTGTGTGGGTTTTTGGAGATGATGAGTAGCAGCAGAATTCAGAAATTACATAGTGTATTTAAGAATAAAAATAGCTAGGCATGGTGGCACATGCCTGTAATGCCAGGACTCTGAGAGACTAAGGCAAGAGGATTGATTGTAATCGGCATCTTAACCATTTAATAACATCCTGTCTTAAAATAAAAAGTAGAAAAAAGGTTGAGGATGTAGCTCAGCGTGAAGGCCTTGGATTCAATCCCTGTACCCCCACCCCCAAAAAAGAATAAAACAAATGTATTTCTTTGGTAGGAAATCAATGAAAAAAGTTTTGAATATTTAAAAAAATAAGACTGCTTTGAGGTTTGCTAAAAAAATTCAGCTTTCCTCTTTTTTATGGTACCAGGGATCAAACTCGGGACCTAACTTAAGAGGCAGGTGGCGGAACCACTGAGCTAAATCCCCGGACCACAGCTTTCCTCTTAAAATTTAGTTTAGATGAAGATTTTGTATTATGTGTTCTTTAACAAATAGTTTGGGTTGCAGCTGATTTTTTTAAAAAATGATAACCTGGGGCCCAAATATTCCTAAGAAAAAAATTACAACCTGTCAAAGGCAACTTTGTCCTTTATAAAGCTAAACTGAATAGACAAATACTCTAAAAAAAAAAAATCACACCAACATAAAGATTACATTTCATCCATTCTTTATAAATAATTTTTTTCCCTAATTCTTTCCCAGCTCAAAGTTTTTTCTTTCTCCAGTGTGTTCACAATAGTGGTTCATAACTATAGAAGTTGCAAAACTGACACTGGCACATATTTTAAAGAGAAATATTAAAAGAATTATCTCATCTACCTTGAAAAGGTGTAAGAAAAAAGCCTAAAGAACGGTACGTATTAGTAAGCACATCTTCATTCTTCATTCAATACCACCAATAAATGAAGTAAGTCTCATCAAATCAGATTAACAATAAAATATTTCATCACAGTGAGCATATGTACAATTAATATGTCAGTATTATGTAAATAAAAAATAAAGAAAACAAAATATTTTAAGTGTAAAGGCCGCATTTATTTAAAGCATTATCTCCTTAGTAAGTACAAGAACTTGTAAAAATGAGGACAAGATGTATTTAAACGCTTTCATTTTGGACTTCATAGCAGTAAAGCAACTTTTATCAATGTACAAAATATAAACAAATGGTACTTTGAAAGAAATGACAGAATCTTTGCCACTGGCAAGTATGTGACCTTTTGGAAGGTCAAAGGACAAAGGCAGATTTCTCCTATATATTTTTTTAAGAGGCATACATTTAAGAACTCAAAAGGAAAATAAAATATTTTTTAAACAACCATCTAACTTATTTTACAAATATGCAACTAATTTTTTCAACATTTATCATATATGGTCCTTAAAATTATACCTAAACATTCTATATGTGTGAAGAGATTGAGTCATTTCTCAACCTGTCTGATACAGAGCCACTGAGATATCAACTTTCCTGTGTCACCTAGTACAGCTTTATATATTAATTTTCTCTTGTGGAAAGCTTAAATGCCAGACACATTTTTAAAAAGGACAAACACAATTGATCTTTTCATCACTACAATCTTCTGAAATAGAATTGATTGATGACTACCAGGAACAGTAAAAAAAGTTAGATGTCCTGGTTTTCTTCAAATTCTAATGTTTTCCCAGTGATTACTAAGTAAATTATTAATATGTTGAACTTATTCTACTTATTTCTTAAAATTCCTAATTTAGAACTAAAAATTCAAGATGAAACAAAAATAAAGATGTTTTCTACCAATAAAATTGGTGAAAAATTAAGCACAATCTTTGCAAGTTCTTGTAATATATATGCCAAAAAACTTCAGCCAAAACAAACAAATAATAAAAAGTATGCCTGTGTGTGTGCCTGTGTTAGGGAATGAGAGTGGGGAAGTCGAAATAAGACCTATAATAGTAATTCCTAGAAAGAGTTGAGGGCAAAAGACTTTCTCAAGAGCACTTTACTCGGTATAGAAGCATCATCCACTTTTTCCTGCAAAAGATTTTACAAAAATAGTATTATAGTACTTTGAGGCTGCTGGATCTTATTTGTAATATTTGTTTACTATAAAGTCTACAATTTCATAAAATTTGGACTGAAACAGTGACATGAAATTATACCTATACTTCTGGAAACCTGGTGAATAAATTCTTTGAGGCTTTGAAAATTAGTTTCTAAAGCATCTTATAGGTACTTTTAGAATAACTAGCACTCTTAACTTTGAAAACATTCAAAATGTTAATTTCTCAAAGTATTTCTTAGACAGAATAATAGTTCAACAAGGCACATACCTTTGCCTTCAACTTGACAGTGATTAGATGCTCTCTACCAGAAGAATCTTCTGCTTTTACCTTGATGGTACTGAAGCAAGTATCCACATATACAAGTCTGGTGAGCAGAAGAAAATTAAAAAAGATCACACTAGGGTAGGTTATTGAGGGAAAGTTGGAGATGGCAGGATTTGAAATAAAAATATTTGCTATATACTTATTAATCCATTTCAAAAATTAATCAGAGGAATTTCTGCATGCCAACCCTCTTTGCTGCTAGATTTACTGCTGTTAATACACCAGCCTAGTGCTTAATGCAGTCATAGATCTCTGGATTATTTACAATGTGTGTCAAGACTCATGCTGTGGTCAGTGAGCACTATGTTTCGGTTTTCCATCACTGGAACCTTTGGCACACACAGCATGTTTCTGTCAGACTCTACTTATGTACACATTAAACTTCCTGTCAAACTCATGATCCATTTCTGTAGTTTCATACAATATGAGACTTTTATGCTTCCTTTATTTGTTTTTCTCCTTGATGAACTCCTCCTTTATTATCAATAAATGTTACTGTACAAAAATCTGGCTGATATTAGTTCAAATACTCAAATTGATCCTCTAAGGAAAATGCTGTATAAGCACAGGTACCGCCTAGTCTCCTAACAATAGATTTTCTTTTTGCACAATGTATAGCTTCTGACATTTAACCTAGGCATATATTCAAGATGACTAATATTTTAAACATACAGCACAAGCACAATTATTTTGGCTTTAAGTTGCTCTAAATGCATGAATTTTCTACAACAGAAACCAATATCCTTTGAAATACATCATTCTGTAAAAATATGGTCCCTTGCATATCATAAACCACCACCAAAATGGTTCAAAGTTAGCACTGTATTTACTAGTGAACTGGGCATATGTATATTTTTTGACATTTTTACAATATTATCTCTTGTACAGATAAAAAGTAGCCTAAGAGCATTAAGCAACTTATCACCTAAACTCATGGTCAGACGCAGAACTAACATTAGCCTCCCAATCTAGGAGACTGTTTTTTTTTTTAGGAGATTGTTTTTTAACATCACTTTTGTCATTTAGTTATTAACAAGTTAATAATAATAATAATAATAATAGGTCAGTTTCAATAAATGCTGGGTAATGAAGTCGTGGAACACTATAATGGAACACATCTAAATCTGAAGAAGATACCTATATTCAATAATGTAATAAAAAGTAAAATAAAACAGGGCTAGGGATGTAGCTCCAGTGATTAGTGTGTCTGCCTAGTATGTACAACAATCTGGGTTCAACCCTCAGTATCATCTAAAAACAAAAACAAAACTGTATCTACAGATGGAAGCTTTATTATAATCAGAAAGTAAAATTATTCTAGAAAAAAGGTTTATTTACATAAAAATATCAATGACTATGGTTAATCCTTATTTTTTACACTACACCAATAAAATATCTTAAATGTTTTATTTTCTAAAAATTTGAATGAGTCTTTATCATGTTCTAACATATCACTTAGAAGTTCAGATAAATGGACATGTGACAATGAAAATTTCTACACTTTAGATTCACTAAAAAATTTAGTTAGAAATAAAGAAATTTTCTAAAGTACAAATCCAGTTAAGAAAATAACAATAAAGAACTGCACTAATTAAGGGAAATTTTAAACAACTTTTATGAAAATGTAAAGTAGTTAAAAGAACTCTAGTTAACAAAATAGATTAGAAGAAAGAGAGGGCTCCAGGATGGTGACCAACTGGCAAAAAAGGCAAAATGTGTAAAATACAGTATGACTGATACACCAGAGATTATGGGGATTTTTTTCTTACAATGCAGAAACCAAAATGAGAAGAAAAAATTTTAAATTAAATTATAAACAATAAAGCTATGGGAAAATTGTAAATGTATTACCATTAACTTTGCAGTGAAAAATATTTACATAATATAAAAACTTGAACTGTTTATTAATTACAATTTTTAGAATCCAGCAAGAACAAAAAAAGAAAAGCTGAAAGAATTATAGTTACAGAAACTAAGTATACTTGGCCATTACAATTTTAAAAGAAAGATGACAAAAACTGGAAAATAGAAAATGGAAAGAGTTCAGAAGAAGATTAGGGCAGGGGATTTGGCTTAGTGGTTCCACTGTCTGCCTCACAAGCACAAGGTCCCAAGTTTGATCTCCAGTACCAAAAAAAAAAGGATTGATACCATAACAATAAAATCTTAATTGCTAATTTGAAAGCCAAGAGATACATTTTAATAGAGGGGACATGAAAGAGTTAAAAGATATTAAAGGTAAGAGAAAAATAAATAATGGAAGAGAGAAGTGCTATATGGATTAAATCCTTTATAGTAACCAGTATATAATTCCTGAAATTGATAAATTGAGAAATACTGTTAGACATTATTTAGAATATAGAAGTTGTAAACATGAACATTTCAAAGAGTCTCAAAGAATAAAAGTAGGGATAGAAAATGGTATGAAAAAAGGCCATACACTTTTCATTATAACTCCTAAATAGTTTATAACTGTGAGGGAAAGAAGAGAGTGAGAAAGAAAGAGGGCAGTTGTGAAAGAAGTTGGTAAAAAGAAAAACTAAACCATTAACTAGTACTTTCTGTACTTCATTGCTGCTTATCTTCAAACTGTGGAAAATCATTACTGAACATCTACAGAATCAGAAACAAAAGCTCTAGTTTTGTTTTTGTTTGCAAACAAACAAACATAAGATTATCATAATTCCAAAGTTTAACACATAGAGATACTACTTGAGAATATAAAAGTGCCATGCTCAAAAATATAGCCTTTAAGTCAAAATGGCCATGAGGTTAATTTTGTTAAACCTTAAGAAATACTGTAATTCAAATGAAGAAGTAAAAAAATATATAATTTCAGGTTAATCTCAGTATGGTCAAAATTTAACAGCCAGGCATGGTGGTGCACATTTGTAATCACAGCATCTGAGAGGCTAAGGCAAGAGGATCTTAAGTTTGAGTGAAGCCTAGGCAACTCAGCCTAAGGGAGAACCTGCCTCAAAATACAAATTGAAAAAGGATGGAAAGACAGCTCAGCAGGGAGTCCCTGGACCCAATCCCCAACATAAAAAGAGAGAGGGGAGTGGAGGGGAAAAGTAGGTGAAGGAGAAGGCAGGGAGGAAAGGAGAGGGGAAGTGAAGGGAAGAGAAAAGGGAAAAGGGGGAAGGGAACAGAGGAAACGGGAGAGGAGGGGAATGGAGAAGAAGGGTGGAAAGGGAAAGAATTTCACTCATATTGATCCCTAGCTCCTTTATTTTGGAGGTTGGGAGAAACATTACTGGGATATTAATACCTTCAGTACACACGACCAATTATCCTGTGCTGTTTGTTCTCACCTTCTTCCTTCTGGTAATAGAACTCCCATTCCCATCCAACCCCAACTATTACAAAAACAAAGCAGGGTACATCCACATAGGTGTTAACTCTTTAGCTTCCCTTCCAGGGAGATGTTAAATATAACTAAATTTTGACCATAAGGCTGCAAGCAGAAATGATATGTGCATCTTTTGACTCATTTACAACAAAATTGTACTTTCCTGTCTCTCTTCCTTTCATCCTTACCTCTCAAAGACTAGAACTTAGGCCACTGTGAGCCATCAACGACATGAGGACAAGAACAAAATAGCACAGCACTGACCAGCAGAACTCTCTGTGATAATGAAGGTATTGTTTGTGTTGTCCAAAACAGTAGCCATCAGATTACTGAGGATCTAAAATATGGCTAGTATGGACAGGGCTGTTTTTATTTGAAGGTAATTTAAATGTAAATGTCAATAGCCATATGTGGCTAGAGATTACAAAGCTGAACAATGAAACCACAACGAATGACTAAAAGACAAGAAACCTGGTTTCTTGAAGGACCTAGAATAGAGCCACCAATCCACTATTAGCCATTTGCCTAACTCTAACCTGTTAAATATGCAACAAATAAAATTCTATCTTCTTTGAACTACTCAGGATTTTGGAATTCTCTTTGTAGCTACTGGCTGAGCCTGTGCTCTATCTAATACAATATATTTGGATCTATTTAAGATAGGAAAGAATATCCTAGTTTTGATATTAAAGTTAAAAAGCCAACTAACCAGGTGATAAATCTTACAATATAAAGTCAATTTTTTCTACAAAAGTCCATTTCAGATGTTCTGCCCTATTGTTAAACTGAGTATATCAAACAATAGGAAATAAAAAATTTATTCATTTAAATGAAATATAAGTTACTTGCTTAAATAATAAATTTAGGAAATTTTCATAAATGAAAAGCTCAAATTTTAAAAAAAGTTATTAAACATAAAATGCTAGAATGCCCACAAAATCACTTTCAAAATTTATATTGAGAAGGAATTATCATTTAGCTGGGCATATTCTAAAACTAAGAAAACATAAGAACATAAATATAACCCAGGCATGGTGGCATCTGCCTGTAATCCCAGCACTCTGGAAGGCTGAGGTAGGAGGATCACAACTTTGAGCCCAGCCTGTAGGACTTAGCAGATATGCTCTCAAAATAAAGAAAAATTAAAAAGGGCCAGGGATTTAGCTCAGTGGTTCTGCCCCGCCTGCCCCACAAGTGCAAGGACCCAAGTTCAATTCCCAGTATACCCCACCCCCCAAAAAAGAAAAAGGACTGAAGATATAGCTCAGTATGAAGGCCCTGGGTTCAATCTTCAGTACCCTCTCATACATGCACACATACATACATACAAAATAAAATATTTTACTTTTAACATTTCACTTTGTATTTATCATTTGCTACATTTCTTTGTAAGTCTCCTTGCAAAGGTACTAAATTTCAGAGTTAAGTTTATTAAACATTTGAAAAGTATGTTAATACATAAGCTTCAGGGAGGTTTCATTGTTGTTCTTATCTGTTAATAGCTGAATGATTATCAGTATGCAGAAGAAATATGTTTTATACCTTTTGAAATACTCTACTTATTTTGACCAACAGCTTCAGTTAGTTCTTCTTTCCTGCATTTAAGTAGTAATAACATCAAAAGGCAGAAGGCATTAAAGAGCAGTCTGAAGACCTTCATATTTTAACAAAGCATCAAAGGCTCCATTTTTACCACCACTCTCAAGTTTAAGCTCTAATTACTTCCTTCCTGGATTACTCCAAACAACCTCCCTAATGGATGTCTTTACTTCATCTCTTTTCTGTACACAAGTCCATCCTGCCTTCTGTGTCTAGATTTAGTCTTCCTAAATGCCTATTAACACCTTGCTCAAAAATACTCAATGAATCCCCATCACCTTCATTACAGAATCATTAGTCTAGCAGCCAAGAACCTTCAACTGATCTACTCCTAGGTCCAAAAATGAACTGGACATTGTCTTGACTATAACCTTGCCTCCACCATCCTCTCCTTTATAAGGCTTTCTTCATTTCTTCAGTTTATCCTAATATCTCCTCTAAGAATTTTCCCAAATTATTTACAGATCCAAAACATTTCACTTTTCTTTAAGTGCACACTACTCCTTTTAAGTTTTAGCTTGCCAATGAAATCAGCTTTTTCGTTGGTAAGGATTATGAAAGTTTGGTATGTCTGTTTATGTGCCAATGCTATATGAATATGTGAACACGTAGAAGTTATTGTCAGACTAACTCATTATTGACTGATTTACATGTAAGTTTTAAAAACAGCTGAATGCAAATTCTATTCAAGTACTATAAAATATTACCAATTCACTACTATATAATTTGTAGTTATTTAATACTTTGGACATATGTATGGGGGAAAAAAATCACCCATTTGTAAAGACAGTTTAGAACGACAATCTTATCTACTAATACCTATGTTCTTATGGGTTATAAAACAAATTATTATTGATTGGAATTAAAAGATTACCCAAAAACTCAGGCACAGTCTGACATTTGTTGGGTAATCTACTGATCAACAATATTATACCTACTTTACATAAAGAACCATGCGACTCCTGTAAGTTTCTTTTTAATTTTTATTATTAGCATTGTTAAACTTTATTTTTAAAATAAAAAATAGCTCAGAGAGGTTAATTTACTTGCCCAATGTTACTCAGGTAATAAGCTAGAATTAAAGCTGTGGTTTAATTACTGGAATTACTGTAAATAAGTATATATATATATATCTTTATTTCCCCCAACATGTTATAATGCTTTGAAATGTATTAAGAATTATAAAAATAATCATCAGTTTCCAAGATAATAGGCTTAATAAAATTTTTTAACTTAATACATGTCGACAATCTTTCATTAGCACATCAGATTTAGCACAACTTAGCTCTTTCCCAAGAAAAACTTGAAAGGCCAAGTATACTCACTTTAAGTGATAAATAATATGCTGTCTAAAAAGTACAAGGCACACTTGTTAGAACCACATAATCTCTGAATTATCTAGGCATATGTGATTATTAAAATAAATATATCTTATAAGTAAAGTGACTGAATGTCTTCCAAACTGGGACACTTGACACTGAAAGAGATCAGGATAAAAGGCATAAATTAAGCTGTCCCAGGTAAAGTGGGATCCAAGATCAGTCTAGCTTTAAAGCAAAAGTATTTGGTGCTTTGAACTCTGAGATGTTCTTGATCCCAAAAAGAAAATTCTGTTAAACCCAAAGAACTCTTTTTAATTATGTGTTTTAATGAGCTACTCTGCGGAACAACATAAGCAGAAGTTAACAGAAACTCACTAATGATTTTTGACATCACTTACCTTTGTGAACTAGTGTAACACCCAAAATAACCCAGGACTACACCTTACCTTTTGGAGAAGTTGCTATTTTGAGAATATTTGTATAGAAGTTCAAACAAGTATTGACATTACAGCAATGGCTAGCAAACCTAAGGTTAACAACAAATTCTCAATGTCACTTCTACAAGAAAAAAAAGTATGTGAATAAAGAAAACGTTCCATCACATTTGAAATATTTATTTTTCTCTTCCAAGTTAAATCTTTATAACGTCTGATCCTACTGGATTAATCAGAATTGCTGAGTATGTAATTAAAAAACACAGTAAGTTCTACGTTACCTAAAAAAGATTTTTCTTTTATTATCAGATTTTATGACTACAGCGAAAAATCTCTAAAATTACTTAGAATGTAAGGGAAATGCAGACATTTGACATGGTCTAGAAATCATTAAGATTCTGAAAAATCCATTTAAAACAATTTGTCATGCAAACCATTATATGTATCATTTCAAAGGGTATTTTAAATAATGAAACTAACTAGCTACTTAAGTAGGGCCTCAAAAGGTAGCAAATCTAGTATGAGACAGCAACAGTGACGGTCTCAGCTTTAACTGTGCCAATCCTCAAACCTGATTTTATCAATCTGTTAGTGGACCAGATGTTATTTAAGAATTAAATTACAAAAATTAAACTAATAAATTTTCTTACTTTACCACATGGCATTGGATAAATGTTGACAAGAACCTTATTCTTTGGCATCTCACAATCCATGAAAACAACTTATATTCTACGAGAACATTCCTTATTTGTAAATAATATGAAACAAAGGATTAAGTAACAACAGCTGTATTCTAAGTTATTCATCCATCCTAGTCACTATAATTAAATTAGAATCTTTTACAATGTAAGCAACAGAATTTGAAACTATCTCTGAGGATGAGGTAATTTTGTGAATGGCAATTTTACTCAAGGTGAGACAGTCATTATTAGCTTCACCCTCAGTGTGAGACTATCTCCATCTACCAGAGGAAACTATTAAAGGCTCCACACCAGGGCTGTCCCATAACACCATTCCAGAGAAATCATTAACACAGTATGCCTACATGGTATTACGTAGCTAAACTTGTCTACATAACTCATTTACTATACAAAGTTGGGAATAAAAACATGTTGAAATTTGTTCTGAGAATTAAGAATACAAAACAGTGGTTAGTAGAATCAGGGGCACACAACAGTAACTTCATAAAAGGCAGTCTTATACATACAGGAGTTAAGTAATTATATTGTAGTGACAGAGAGCAGAGGTACTGATATCCTGTTGATATTGATCTATTATCCCAGTCAGAAATCGCTTTTCTTTTCTCTCACATTAGAAGCATGGGTAAAAGTCATCACTTTCTATTTATCTCTTAAAACACTCCATAAAATATTTTAAGAACTTGTCCTATTTCTCTTATAACTTTGTTGCTAATGGCTCTCAAGCAATCCTATAATTATACTCTATAGTACTTATCATAGTATAATTAAGTACTACTGTGATCATCTACTTAAATTCTGACTCTTTCATTGGATTCTTGTTCCACAAGGATTCTTAAGTCTTGCCTATGTATCTTCACTGCCTAGTATCATACATGCTAAATAAATAATACCTGGGTAAAAAAATAACTGATTCAAAAGTACCTCACACTCTCAATGCTTCAACCAATTTCATTATTAGACTTGTTCCAACCATGTCAGATCCATTTTGTAAATTGCCCTAAACTCACTATCAATATAACAGAAATAACACTGGAACATTTCCTTTCCCCTTGCCAAACCCCTCCAACATCCTCAGCTATTCTCTAAATACTAAAATCTTAAATTTTCCCCATCAGAAAATAAATTGATTTTTCTCTATTTCATCAATCTTTTTCCAAAGAATGAGTAGGTCAAATCTTATCTCTCCTCTCCATTATTATGCTTAATTTTACTAAAAAGGCTACATTCATCCCAAATCCTACTTAAAAATAATTCCTTAAACAAATATAGAGTCTCATTCCATGAAAAATCGTTAATCAATCCTTAAAATCCTCACAGTACACTTAACTTATATGTAACATCTCTTTCTGGCTAAAATGGTGTTACTTGCTACAGACCAACAATTCTACTATCAACAACTAAAGTAGCCTGAAAAAAGGAAGAAGAAAAAAAAAAGTTAAAGGCATCAAAGAATTGCTAAGGCAACCAGGACATGAAGGGCCAAAGTTGTAAAGAAGGGCAAAATAGGAAAGAGGTAAGCCAATACTCTGATGTCATTTTTTCCTCAGCATATTTATCAATTCTGGGCACAAAGCAAAAGAAGGATCTGGGCAAAGGGCCTAGATAGAGAGCTGCTATGAAGTGTGCAAAAAACCAAACAAACAAAAACTAGCAGCATTTTGGCAATCTCCTGAGGGTAGAGGCAAAAATAACAAACAAAGGGTCAAAATACAGTAAATCTAAAGAACATGATATAAAATTCTGCCAATTTTCCCTCAAACTTCTCATAAATCCTTAAACTTAAAAGAATAAGAGGATAGAAAGCCACTGAAAAACAAAAGAGAATATTCAGAAAGTTCATAATACTCTGAAAAGGCTAATTAGAATTTAGAGCTCACAAATGGGACAAAGTCCATTTCAAAGATCTCAGTGAGAACCTTTGAAGGGCTACTCTTAACAGCAAAGTAAACAAGAGGTAGATGAGGCCTGGACTCCAGTCAGGCATGGTGGTGCATGTCTGCAATTCTAGCTGCTTAGGAGGCTGAGGGAGGAAGACTGCAAGTTTGAGGTCTACCTTGGCAAATTAGCAAGACCCTGTCTCAAAATTTTAAAAAGGGCAAAGGATGTATTTTACCCTCGGTTCTATCCCCAGCACCACCACCCCTCCCCCCCACACACGAAAGTCTCTAATTGAGAAGAAAATTGGTCTTGTGGAGAGATTCAGGCTAGAGTGGAGGATTGACCAAAGGAAAAAGTTCAATAAATGTATCTGGTTCTTGCTTAAAAGGGGAGACTGATGGGACAGAGGCAGCTGACTCTTAAAAACAATCCATTCTGAACTCACTGCCCTATGGCAATCTGCCACCATGCCATCTTCTTAGGAAAGAGAAACTTAAACCTTCTGTGGAAGAAACAGCATTATCTGGCGGCTCTAAATGTTTTTATGCACATTTTCCAAAACTCAACCGAAGATTACTAGGCAGCATAGTGCTACAGCCTGAATAACCAAAGGCAAATACAAAACAAGAGCCAACAGGAGATAGTGATCAAGGACACATTAACTAAAATGCCTCCAAATTAAGCCACTTCCCTCATTTTCTCTCCTTTCACCAGCTTCTTTTGAAAGAATAAGTATAAGTAGTTACTATATTGAACACAAACAAGATTTTAAGAAAAAGCAAAAGTAAAAAAATAAAATACAATAAAAAGCAACACATTTTAGTTCAAAGGAATCAGGAAAGTGTGACACTCAGCTTGCCGGGGGCACGTCAAAGAGAATTTAATAAATTACAGGTTTCATATTAGTCATTAAATAAAAGATCAGATATTCACAGCAAGCATGCTATTTTTAACATCTGAAGTGGGAGAAAACTTCCTTCATGGTCTCTCATAAATATAGAGGTGTATCATTAAACAGAAAAACTCCAAACATAAAATCATAGGGCTGTTTCATTAGACAGCCCTTAATACAAGTCAGCGACAACCTCAAGCAATTATGCAAGAGACCAAAATAATGGTGTTCGTTTGTAAGATCCAATTTGGAAAACATGAAAGAGCTAATTAAAAAATATGATCAAATTTTTTAAAACTTTATTACAATAAGACACATAAGCATTAATACCCCTCAAAATAGTTTCCCTCGCTTCGAACACATTTATCTCATCATTCTTGCTACTTTCTGAAGTAGTTCTGGAAGTTCTTTCCCCTGTGTTTAGTTGTACTGTGTGGCTACCTCAATGATCTGAATCAATTCAAAAGGTTTACAATAATTTCTATCAAATAAAAACGTTATGGCATGTCCTCATTCACCTTATTCAGTGGACCTGGCACTATGCAACTTCCAACTTTTTCCCAAAGTCAAAATGAACATGAAAAGTAAGCATCTTGAATCAATTTAGGACATGGAGACAGTCACAACAGTGCAACTAAAGAGACTCAGGAAAAGACTTCCAGAACTGCTTCAGGAAGTGGCAAGAATGATGGGATAAGTGTTTGAAGCAAAAGGTAGTATTCTGTGGAGAATTAATGACAATGTGTCTTTTAATGTAATAATTTTTAAACAATTTAAATCTTCACCATATTTTTCAGTAACACCATGTAAAATAACTGTATTATATAAACTGTTAGCAGCTCAACTATAGTGAAACATTACTGATGCAATCATGATTTAATAAGGACTTAGCAGTTGAAAATAGAAGTTGTCATTTTTGGCAAGAATCCAATATATACATTTCAGAGCACCTAAGTATAGATCCACATACTCAGACTATTAAACCAGGAAAAGTAAGGTTAAGAAGTACTTATAAAAACTTAAAACTCTTAAAAATAAATGCCTGGAACAATGGCTAGCCCATCCCTGCCCAGTGGTGCACCCAGAGAGGTGTGGATCACTCATTCATATTCAATGGTGATAAGAAAAAAACCTGATGTGTGAGGAAGAGAAGGAACTGTTCTAATTGAAAGGCTTATAAGGAATATAAAGGGTAGGTGGACACATAGGCAAGAGAAAAGAATCTTTCTCCCTCTTATAATTAAACAGCATTTTAATCACCTCTAGAAACAAATTTATAAGGGATTAAGTTAGAACTCTTAAATTCATATCTAGTTTTTCTTCAGCTATCAGGTTATGGTTTAAATATATGAAAGGATATATATTTTGCACCTATGTTCCTTATTTTAAAATGCTATTTGACTTTCCAGTTCTTTTAAATTAGCTATCAAACTCCAATCAGGAAATACCTTAAAAAATAATAATCAGAAGAAGAGGAGGAGGAGGAAGAAGAGGACAAGGAGGAAGAACAAAGGAGGAGGAGGTAGAGGAAAAAGAAGAAGAAATACTTTAAACACATTTCTAAAATACTTCAATTCTAGTCTGTTTTACAAAATATCTCAGCACGATTTTTCAAACTTGGGATAATTTAGTAATGTTTAGAATGTTATATGTTCGGTGAAATGTCTTCATATAAAGATATCTTCATATATCTTCATATGAAGATAATATCTTACAGGTACATAAAAATGTCATTGTTTCCAAATTATGTTTAACTTTGCTTGTCAATTTTTAATTTTTTATTGAGTTTATTGGTACAATTAGATATACATAATGCTCACATTCATATAGAATTTGTACCATACATTTGATATATATTTTTTGTTGCTGTTATCGGGGATCAAACTCCGGTCCTTGCGCTTGCAGGGCAGGCGGAGGAACCACTGAGCTAAATCCCTGGCCCCCATTTGATGTATCTTGATTTTTATTTTTTTCCCATTCCCCTTCCCTCCCTTCAACCCTTCTTCCCCTCCTTTTTTACAACAGCTTTGTTTCCATTTTATCTTTCTCGTTTTATTCTTTTCCTTCCTTTCCCCTTCCCCTCTCCCTAGTGCCCCTTCCATTAAGAACATTTTCTTCCTATTTCACATTATTTATTATACATTTTGGTCCTTAGTTACACTTTTCAGCTTCTCATACCAGAGAAACAATGTGATATTTATACATGTGTGTCTGATTTATTTCACTTAAGAATATGGTATCAAGGTGCATCCATTTACCCAGAAATTTCTCCAGTTTATCCTTTTTAATGGCACAGTGGTACTCCATCGCATAAAAAATCCACATCTTCTTTAGTCACTATTGGTTGATGGGCATTTGGGCTGTTTTCAAGACTTAGCTATTATAAACTGTGCCCCTATAAACATGACTGTGCACATATCACTGTGGTATAAGGCTTTTAATTCTTTTGGGAAGATACCCAGCAGGGGAACAGTTGGCTCCAATGGGGCCTCTGGTCCTAGTTTGTTGAGGTATCTCCAAACTAATTTTGACAGTGGTTGCACCAGTCTGCACTCCCACCAACAGTGGAGAAGTGCTGCTTTCTCCCGACATCCCTGCCAGCATTTGTTATTGGCTGATAATATCTTGACAACAGCCATTCTTTCTGGAGTGAGATGGAATGCAGGTTAATTTTTAAAGATAGCCATTCCTTTAATCTTAGCAACAGGAGGATCAGATACTCTATTATGAAATACTGACTAAAAACAAGTGTAAAATAAATTGCCAAAATGGAAATGTATGAAATTGAAATAGGTAAAACAAGGGCATTTCTAAAGCATATTTCAAAAGAGACATACTTATCCCAACCAAGAGTTCCTATCTCTTCAATAAGGACTGAGTAGAACTGGGAAGGAGGAGGCTGTACACATAACTCTTGTCTATTCTTTAAAGCAACTTCCTGTTTAAAAGAAAAAGAGACAACTGTAGAATATGCGACAATAAATTGTTATTACTCAGTTACAAACACTATTTAATAATCTTCTTAGTGTCCAAGTCTTCATTCTTTTTATAGAAAACCACGGTGACTCATTCCCCTTCTCATAAGAAAGTTAAAGGAATATAATAAAAGTAGCACAAATACTAATTTTTATATTATGAAAAGAACTTAAAATTTTAATATTCTTCTAGACTATTATGCCTAACAAAGATGAAAAATTTAAAAATAAAAACATCCTTAAGGATTCATTTTCTATCCCCATGGATATGATGTTTGACAGAAAAAAACCATGTGCCTTTAAAGAAAAGCCTAAACTCTGTTGACACTGACTAGACTGATACCATTAAAAACCGTATCTTAACAAAAACTACTCAGCATCACAATAAATACTTGCTAATTACTTTCACTGACTTATATTCAGTATTATTCTTCGACCAGGTAAGCCCAGTGTCTTGCCATCCATCTAGCTAGGTTGTAGTCCCTTTCTTTGCTAGGCCCACCTATGACATTTCTAAAATGATTTATGATCCCCCAATCAAAACTATAACTTACATTTTTATAAGCAATACAAACAACACTGGAGTTGTCAAGGTTAAAAATTACCAGTGATTTTTAAGTTACTAACCTTGAAAAGTAAAAAGAAATATATCTACAAATTAATGTGCATATGCATGGATTATCAAAAGATATTATTAGATTGAGCACCCCTTATTTGAAAATTCGAAATTTGAAATACTCCAAAATTTCAAATTTTTTGAGAGTGAAATGACACAAGTGAAAAATTCCATACCAGAAAACTTTGTTACAGCATAAAATTATTAAAATATTGTATAAAATTACCTCCAGGCTATGTGTATAACGTGTATGAAGTATAAGTGAATTTCATTTTAGACTTGGATCCCCTCTCCAAAATATATTACTATGTTGATAAAATATTCCAAAATCTTTAAAAAATTCAAAATCTGAATTCCTTCTCATTCCAAGCCATTTTGATAAGGGATACTCAACCTTTAGAAGAAATAAAGAAATACAACTAAAAATGAGGACAATAAATAACAAAACCAGAGGAAACAAGGTGAAAAACTATAAACATTTCTGTTAAACAACAGTTTAAAATTTTTACTCCTTTGAGTATATGTTTAATCTGTTATCATCCTTATATGTTTTTATTTAACAAGGATAGGATAGTATTAAGTTGAAGTAAAACTAGAAATAGATTTTACAAAGTAGTATTTCAGAATCAAGACTATTAACTGAAACTACTTCAACCAATTTCTGAATCCACTTTAAGATGAAAAGACTACAAAAGCAGATCTATAATATGAAGGATTCAATACGGATATAATTGGAGGGTAATCTAGGAAACAAGGCATACGCTGCCTTTTTTAATAATCTAAATGTCTAATGTTAGCTAAATGTACCCTAGTAGTCCAAAAACATTAATTTCTACAATTAAGACTGTCCTCTACTAGTTATTGAATAAGATGAAATAATACAGTTCTTAAATTTACACTGTAACAGTTAAAAAGTATTTCTTTTGAGAGTTCTATTTTTAATATTTATTACTCTAACCATAAATAGTGAAGATAAACTTAGAAAATAAAAACAAACTTCAATTCTAAGTTTACGACATTTGTAAACTCTGCCTTCTAATTTGGGTCAGGAAAGTTACTTCTACTCTAGAGCCATAACAGAAAACAGAGCAAAGGCAGAGAAACAATCATTCTACCCAGAGAAGGCCAAGTGGCACAGTAGAAAGACTACACAGGGACAGGTTTAATCTTGACTTTAATATTTCCCTAGTTTCAAGGCTGCAGGTTCTCAGCGGCTGGGCTCTAAAATAGAAATACTATAAAATAACCTACCTCAAAGTACTTTTAAAAAATATTAAATATAAACTGAACTTCTACTATATGCCTGTGTATTAGTAGAAACTCCATGGGAGACTTACAAAATTTCCTGAACAAGTTCAATAACTAACAGAATTTCATTGTTGATTTTATTATAGAATCCTACTACTAACAACATAGCCTTAAGAAATAAGCTAATAATTCTTACATTTTCAGGTATACTAATTTAAATGAACAATAAAATAACCAACTTTGTCTCTAACTTCTGAATAAAATAAAACATGAATCTTTTTTATTCAGAAATGCAACACAAATGTATAAAATATTGTAAACTATAGATCAATCTCAGTATTTCATTTCATTCTTAAACTAATAAATGTTTCTTCCAAATTAAATGGCCAATACAGCCATGACTTACAATCCAATAAAATTAGTTTTAGTGAAAGGGGTTTAGTGTGACATAGCATATATAGTTTCACTCTGGTTCTCTCAGTCCTTGTATTTGTATAGCATATTAAAAATTACAATAAAAAAGTAAAAGCTTTCAAACTTTTCTCCAATATCAAAGGGATACAGAACAACAATGCTATATTTCTTCACCTTACAATTTTAAATGTTATTGCATTATAGCCTTTGATGAATTTTATAATCAATTTATAATTAATTTTTGGTTTAAAAATTCCAAACTGAAATTTAATCTAAAAAAATCAATTTTAAATTCTTTGTTCTTATCTCAAACATGTTATCAAAACTGTATCTTCAGAAGGTTTTTATGAAGATAAAAAAAGGACTCAGGAAAATGTAGCAATTAAGCTCTCAATATATAGTAGTTGCTACCACAAACAGGTCACAAAAAGAACTACAAAGAAATAGCAAACTGCATTCAGTTATTAGTTGAAATAACTTATAGTTTTGACATAAATATAAATGAATAAATAATAAAAATGTAAATAAGCATAAGACATAACTAAAAAACGGTACTGTTAATATCATTAGAAACCAACATTTCAAAATAAAAGGGATAAAAGGAAAGAAGTAAAAACTTGTTAAAGTCAAATTTCAATTAGAAATATCAATATGAATATATGATTAATCATATCTTTCAAAAATGTACTCTTTTTCTAGCTTTGTCCACTAAAAAAGCCTAGAAGTAGTGGTAAAAATGAGTGCTCTAGTTTCAGGTTGTGGCATCCAAATACCATTTCCCACAAATATGAAAAAGAAAATGTATGGCTTTGGAGATATGGCTCATTACACTTCTAGAACAGTTCTACAACAGAATGAGTAAATTAGCCTGGGCCAACTGGTATCAGAAAGAAGAAGCTTAAGTTATATTAAAAGAATCCAGTACCCAACATGAAGGGGCTTGCACTAACTAAAAATAGTACAATTTAAGCACCAAAAAGAAAATGACTCCAATGGATTAAAGATAATCAAATATTAAAAAATCATGATTTCATAATCATACTAAAATTTTTTTTTATTTCCTGTGACAGTTGCTAGGCACCAACTCATTATTCTGAAACCTGATTTTTAAAAAGGGAAAACAAGCACTTATCCTATCTCTCTTGTATGAGATATACCTCAAATTAAATAACTAATGAGGGTCTTTATTATAAAACATTGACAGTTAATAAAACAATCATCAAGTGAGCACAGAGGAGGAGGCTTCTTGGTCAACATGCCACCACTCCCAGCACAGAGGAGGAGGCTTCCAGGCTAATGTACCACTGCTACCAGCACAGAGGAGGTGAGCCAAGCAGGCAGCAGCAGTGAACTCCCCCCTCCCCCTCCTCTGAGAAGACAGGTAAACAAGCCTCAAAACCAGACTTCCAGATCACCTACAGTAACCCCAAAGGAAAATGAGGTGGAACACTGTGGTACTCAACCTCTTGGACTCCCTGAACTGGCAACAAAAGAGGATCTGGAAAAAATGAAATCAGAAATAATTTCTCACATAACTGCAGAGATTGTGCCCACAGAGCAACACATGACTAATAAATCTAGAGAGGAGCTGAGGAACATGATGGAATCCCAACATAGGAAACAAATAGAATCCATAAAACATGTAAACAGATTTACTGGAGATTAAAAACTCCACTGAAAGTCTATGCAGCAGAATGAGCCAATGTGAGGACAGAATTTTAGATATAGAAGATAAGACTGCAAATAGTGACCAGGAAAAGAAAAATTTCTTTAAAATTGTAAGTGACCATGAGAAATCAATCCAGCAGCTGCTAGATAATGCAAAGAAGAATAGCATAAGAATGATCAGAGTCAATGAAGAAACAGGAGAGAGTGCAGATGACATAAAAAAAAAACTGTTCACAGAAGTGATGGCAGAAAACTTCCCAAGCAGGGGAAAAGAAGTTGA